TGGTTGCCTTGATTCTTACTTTGTTCATAAATTTTACATTAGCTTTAGATAGCTAGTCAGATATCCTTTCTCTTGCCTCAAGTTCTCTCTATGATATTTTATGTGTGATTTTTTTAATCTAGTGGAATAGATTCAGTGTCACAGTATGTAGTGACCCCAGATATCAGTTTGACTTTAAAATATCTTTAGAACTTCCCTGGTGGTCCATTGGTTATGAATCCACCCTCCAGTGCAGGGGACATGGGTTCGAACCTTGGTCCAGGAAGATTCCACATGCTGCACTCAGGACAGCTAAGCCTGTGTGCCACAACCGCTGAGCCCACGCGCTCTAGCGCCCTTGCTCTACAACAAGAGAAGCCACCACAATGAGAAGCCTGCGTACCACAACTGGAGAAAGCCCTTGCACAGCAACAAAAACCCAGCACAATCAAAAGGAAACCAAAAAAGACTGAATGTCTTAAACAACAGAAATTTTTTAAAACTCTAAAATCACAATGGCAGTATTTACCTCCTTTGCTTCTTTCTAATATGATGATATCTACCATGTGTTTGGCTGGTTAAGCTGAATCATACAAAATGGTTCAGTACTTCAAGAATTAAGCAGTTAAAAGCAAAGCAGAATTTATGTTATGTATATTTACCACAACGTAAACAAAACAAACAAAAAGCAAAGCAAAATCAGAGTGGGGAGGGAGAGATGGATTATAAAGTGGTATGAGGAAACAAGAGTGAATGATATGTTTATCTTAATTTTGATGATTTCACAAGGGTATAATGTTAAAACTCATTAAATTATACACTTTAAGTATACATTTATTGTATGTCAATTATATGTCATTCAGTAAAGCTGAAAATATAGCCCACATATCCCCTCTGCCCCCGACCCCTGCATACACAGAGCAAAGTCTTCTGAGAAGTTCCTATAAACATGTCTTTGGATGTGTTAAGTATTATTCTATTAAACTTTAAGGAATCTTAACTTGAAGTCATGGAAAGTAGCTGGTGAGAATATAGTATGACATTTATCCCCTTGATTTATTATGGCATCTTTAAAACTCTACTTTGTATCATGAATGAAAAGTACAGCTGACTTAAACGCCACCTATTTGTAATGTCAGAAGAGAGAGGAACAGAGAAAGAATTTTTTTATTGCTTAAGTTGAAAGCTTATCAGGAAATCCTAGTAAAACTATTCCGACAGGAAAGATCTATACAGCCGGCAAATCAGGCAACTTTGGAATCAGGCCAATAACCATGTCAGTTCTATTTGATTGGTCCTTGGACCTTGCTACTTTCAGTATCTGACCTTTTAATTTCACTGTTAGGCTGGTCTGACTTAAGCTTGCAAAAACTTAAGGAACCTATGCTATGGGAAGAATGTTCTTAATTGAAGGAAGAAGCAGCAGTAATGATGAGAGTTTCTTTTACTAAAAATTTGTGGATTTCTGGGAGACAGCATTCTGGTTTTCCCACTTACTAGCTGTGTGACCTCTGGATAGGTTGCTTAACCTCCCTGATCCTTAGTTTTCTCACTTGTATATTGGAACTAAAAATACCTGCTTCTCAAGTTATATGGATTATATGAGAATAATGTATATAAAGTACCCATCACAGTGTCTGTCACTGGTAATATTGAAGAAAAATAGTTATTATTATGATTGTTGCTATTACTGTATTACCTCCTTGCAACACATTTAGATTGCTAACACATACTTCTTAGAATATATGTATCATCTACACTGATTCAGAGTTAGGAAGGAGAGAGAATCTATTTTTAGAGATCCTGAAAGAACATTTGATGAGGGCCTGTCTGTGTAGAAAATGATTATTGGACATCTTTTAAAAATACATTTATTAGGCTTGTATTAGGCCTTAGTTGTGGCATGCGGGGTCTTCATTGCAGTCTGTGGGCTTCTCTTGTTGAGGCCCTTGGGCTTAGTAGTTGGCTGCTCCAGCTCAGTTGCCCCATGGCATGTGCGATCTTAGTTCCCCAGCCAGGGATCAAACCCTCTTCCCCTCCATTGGAAGTCTGATTCTTAAGTACTGGACCACCAGGCAAGTCCCCAAACATGTTTAAAAGTAAACTTTTTACCTTGAAAAAGACAAGTAAAACTTTCAAAAAAGGAATATTAAAATGAAGCCGTTTATGACCCACTCAGTTTCATTTGGGCTTCCCTGGTGGCTCAGCGGTAAAGAATCCACCTGCAGTGCAGGAGACGCTGGAGACGTGGGGAAGATCCCTGGGTGGGGAACATCCCCTGGAGGAGGGCATGGTAACCCACTCCAGTATTCTTGCCTGGAGAATCCCGTGGACAGAGGAGCCTGGCGGGCTACAGTCCATAGGATTGCAAAGAGTCAGACACAACTGAAGCGACTGAGCATGTGCTCACGCAGCTTTATACAGTGATGAAATTTTGCCATATTTGCTTTACCTTTTTGTATGTAATATAAATTTTTTCTTTTCTTTGTTTGCTAAGGAAGTTTCTTTTTTTTTGCTAAGGATAAGTTGCAGCGATTAGAGATCATAACCCTTTGTCCCTAGATACTTCAGCATTAAAAAAAAGGACAGTCTTTTACCTAACAGTGTAATTATCAACTTCAGGAAGTTTATTTTAACATTGATACATACTATTTTCTGATACAACCCATATTTTAATTTTACTGGTTGTCCTAATAACTATCTTTTATAACGATTTCTCCCCCAATCTAGAATTATGCATTACATTTAGTTGTCATTTCTTTGGTCTTTCAACCTGGAACAGTCCTTCAGCCTTTCATTGTTTTTCATGATTGACATTTTTTTGAAGAGTACAGGCTTGTTTTGTAGAACGTCTTTTAGTTGAGGTTTGTCTAATTGTTCCTCATAAACACATATAGGTTATGTGTTTTTGGCAGATAATATGACCCAGGTGCCTTGTATCAGGAAACATTATTGGTGATGTTAATTAGCTGTAATTATTTAGGTAAGAGTTGTTTTTTTTTATTTCACTTTAAAGGTAACTCGCTTTACTTTGTAATTAATAAGTCACTGATGGAGAGAGAGTTTGAAACTGTGTAAACTCCTGTTCCCAAACAAAATTTCCCCCAGTGGTTTTAGAATCTTAAGGAGCATTTTTATATCATAAACGTGGTTTCCTCACATTGATTGAAGAAGTCTTCTTAAGAAAATAGCTTTTACTGTAAAAATTACAATACCTTGTACACAATACACTCTCAATATTATTATTATTATTATGTTCACTCTCAATATTATTGACTGCCTGATCTTTGAGCTACCTGGACACCATTTGCTGATTATATTTCTCGTAATGGATTTTGTCTGCCTACTCTGAGAATTTAACAGATATTTGCAGCAAAATCTTGTTGTTTGCAGATTAGAAACGGTCATTAATTGATTGATTAGGCGTTCTTAGCAGGCCACTCAGATCAGTGAGATGAGAGTAGTAAATCTGAATTCTCGGTATTTCAAAAGAATAATTAATAACAATCATGAAAATCTCTCATCATCATCACTGGAAAAATTTATTAAATATATAATTCTCTCCTTCATTTTATTTTAATTTGTGATGAAAGGACAGTTGAATTTGAATATGCAATGAAAGGAAGTTTCTGTGTAGTATTCATCTTTCACTTTAGACTCTGACATTTTTTTCATATCAGGCTAATAGTTAGCCATGACTCATGAGGTGTCTCCTTTAGTCTCTTAAGAATTAGGTCAGGTTTCTTGTAGATCTTGTCACATTGCTCTTTGGAATTTAGCCAGAGGAAAGAAAGTAAGGCACGATTGCAATTGTTTAGATAAATATCTTATTCAGGAGGGCTTATTAGAGGCAGAGAGACAGGGTAGAAAGTCCTCATTTTATCTAGTATTTTGTTTTGTTTACCACTTCTGTTCTGAGGATTTTTTTCCATCTGTCATTGTATCTTGGACAGAGGTAACAGTTGATCATTGAAGTTCCTCTCTCTCCAGTTCCTGGCTGATACCTAAAATTTTATCATTATCAAGAAATCAATTTATTTGTGAAAAATATGTCACCTAAGCATAAAACATCAGATATTCAGAACTTTTCTGTAATAGTTGCTAAATGCTTTCTTCTAAATGAGACAACAATAAATAAATTTTCCTTGGGGGAAGAAGCCTGGATGGGGTTTTAGTAGTTGGGGATTGTGAACAAGCTTAAGGTGCTGAGACTCTGAAAGAGGAAGGGGAAATGAGTATTGAAAAAGGAAAGACATTTAAAAGATACAAGTATGTTTGTTGTTTAGTTGCTAAGTTGTGTCTGACTCTGAGACCCCCCGGGCTATAACAGCTTGCCAGGCTCTGCTATCCCTGGGATTTCCCAGTCAGGAATACTGGGGTGGGTTGCCATTTCCTTTTCTAGGCATCTTCCCAAACCAAGGATCAAACCCGAGTCTCCTGCATTAGCAGGCAGATTATTTACTGCTGAGCTACCAGAGAAGCTCACAAGTATACTTACTCTACAATATTCATACCTCTAACTCTGGACAAGTAGTCTTTGAAATATACAGAGCATTTAGAGTTAAGAAATCCAGACTTTGTTAACTAGTAATTGCTGATGTCCATCTTTTTTTCTTTTTTAAAAAAGACTCTTTTCTCCATCTGTACCAAAGACCTTTTACATTTCCTTGCACCTGTCAGACCTCTCGGTGTCCTAGGGATGTGATGTAAGGGTAGTGAAAGTCTGTATAACTAACTTTCTCAGCCAGGTTCTTCCAGTGTTTTGCATGCAATCAGGGTATGAAATAGATAATATTGTTTGTGTGGTAATTTCCAAGGTCCAGGTGAGTAATTGTGACCATTGTTCCACAGAGAGGCATTTCAGTGTTTATACTAGAGCCTGGTTTTTGTGATGCTTTGCTCTTTTTTACTAGATGTATTTGGTTCATCTTTGTGAAGTGTGTGTTTTTCCCTGTCATTGAGAAATTTTCTCCCCAGTGATAAAAAAATTATTTTCACTTCCTATGACCAGTTAAAAGAAGATGGATGCACAGAATTCAGCCAAAGTCAACACAAGGAAGAGGAGGAAAGAGACACCTGGACCCAATGGGGCGGCAGAAGAAGATGGAATTCCTTCAAAAATGCCACGCTGTGCAATTGTAAGTAAGGAAGAGATTTCTTTGTTGAACTCTTAACCTTGCAAGGGGAAGGGTAGAAAGTGATATAACACTGATGATATCAACATTACTTCTTATCAAGTCTTCTTAAATAATGGAAAGAATGAATAGTAAGTGTGAATAGTGACTTTCCAACAGTTGCTGGAAATCTTATGCAGGTTATAATTCACAGTTCAGTTGTAAGAACTTTACAAACTAATGAAATAGAGAAATTGCAGCTCCAGGGAGTGATCTGATCTTGGTATAATCTCTTGTTTAGTTTTCTGTGTCTTATTGTCTTTTCTGTCATATCACTGCTCCACTCCATTACTAATTATATCTTAGATGAGAACCTTTTTCTTCTACTGCCTACCTTATGTTCCTTTACCTCTGAAGTGTTATCTTTGTATTTCCTAACCACTTACAAACATTTGATGAAAGACTGCTCTCCAAACTCTTCATCCTGTTTCAGGTTGGTACCCTTCCTGAAGCTTCCCCTGGAAAGCATATCAAAGTATATTTATAGATAATTGGAGTTATTATTGGTACACAGTGTTACTATGAAATCCATGTTTTAAAATCCCAGTAACAGAATTACATGTTTCTGTATTTCTTGTACCTGTATTAACCACTAGCCATTGATTAAACTGCAGTTTCCACTGGTTACTTTTGGAACTTCATAATCCAGAAGGAAAAACATTTCTACTCTGACATGCTGCTGCTGCTAAGTCACTTCGGTTGTGTCCGACTCGTGTGTGACCCCATAGACGGCAGCCCACCAGGCTCCCCCGTCCCTGGGATTCTCCAGGCAAGAACACTGGAGTGGGTTGCCATTTCCTTCTCCATGCATGAAAGTGAAAAGTGAAAGTGAAGTCGCTCAGTTGTGTCCGACAAGATAGTATATTGGCTTGGAATAACTGTTACTCTGACATAAGTAACAGTTATTCCAAGCCAATATACTATCTTGAGCAATAAAAGCAACTGGACTTCACAAATGGGAGGTTTATGCTCCAGGACTGATGTTAATGATGATGCTAAGGGCAAGTGTATTCATTTCCTGTTTCTCTGTAACAAATTACCACAAATTTAATGAATGGCCTAAAACAATACAGATATATTATCTTATAGTTTTGGGGATTAGAAGTCTGAAATGGGTCTCAGAAAGCCAAAGTCAAGTGGTAGGGCTGGAGGTTCTAGGGGAAAACTGTTTGCTTATATTTTCCAGCTTCTGGAGGTTGCCCATATTGCTTTGCTCAGGGGACCAGCTAGCAGTCACAACACTCTGACCACTGCTTCTGTCATCACATCTCCTTGTGAATCTCCTGCCTCTTTCTTTCACTTGTAAAGACTTGTGATTACATTGGATGGGCGTACTTAGCTATTCCAGGACAATATATCTCAAAATCCTTTAATCACATTTGCAAAGCCCATGTTGCCATGTAAGATAGCATAGTCACAGGTTCAAGAACATAAAATGTGCACATCCTTAGGAGAACGTTATTCTTTATACCACAGCAGGTAAACTCAGAAAATGACTCAGCAGTCAATAAAACAGGGCATTGTTAATTTCTGAATGTTTCTTAGAGAATTCAGGTTAAGGAGATGGTGGTAGGCACAAATTCAGCATTCTCACTTGTAGTAGGGACAGGCTATAACCAAGAAGGTAATACTCTGAGCTGATCACCGGAGCCAGGAATAGACCTAAGAAGATGATTCTTAGTGGAATGGGCTCTGAGAAGAGTTAAATCTCTTGGTTTTTAGAATCTGAGGAATCTCAGTGTTTTTAGTTACTCTGCTTCATACATTCATGTCACAAATCAGAAATGGCTTGCTACCTATTTCACATTCCTGTCTGGTATACACTGGCTATTTATCAAGGGCTAATGAGCAAAGATTCGCTCACCCAACAGGCTGGACTGTAATGAGGAGTGTCTGCTAAATAAACTTGTGTGTAATCTCTGCTGTACACATATGCTTTCTACCTCTGAATCTCTTTCAACTCTGTAGAAAAAACAAGATTTTTTTATTTTTTTCCTTACTAAGATCATTTAAACTGTACAACTCAATGGTTTTTAATATATTCATAGAGTTGTGCTACCATCACCACAACCAATTTTAGAATATTCTTATCCCTAAAATAAACCCCATACCCATTAACAGTCACTCCCCATTTCCTCCCAAGTTCTCACCTCTAGAAACCACTAATCTAGGGGGGACCAGGATGGGGAATACATGTAAATCCATGGCTAATTCATTTCAATGTATGACAAAAACCACTGCAATGATGTAAAGTAATTAGCCTCCAACTAATAAAAATAAATGGAAAAAAAAAAGAACCAGAAAAAAAAAAAACACCACTATTCTACGTTATTCCTATAGATTTGCCTATTCTGGACATTGCAGGCAAATGGCAATACATAATAGCTGGTCTTTTGTGGCTGGCTTCTTTTACTGAATGTGTTTTCACGATTCATTAATGTGGCATATTCAGTACTTTTTTTTGTTTTTATTGACAAGTAATATTCCATTGTATATCACACACCACATTTTATTTATCCTCTCATTAGTTGATATTTGGGTTGAACAAACAAGATTTTATGACATACTTAACATGGTGCCTGCATGGCAGTGGTTACTGGGAGTGTTAAATAAGACCTTCCCTTTGAGAGATGTGAACATAGTATAGAGCTCTGTAACTCAAATCTCAGCTAGCTTTAAAAAAAGGTGCTTTCCTTGAGAGCAGGGAAAGGAATAGGATGTGTCACCAAGTATTCGGTAGCTGGGTTTGTATGTCATGATAGAATGGATATAAAAGAGAGAAAAGAATTAAGGAGGAAAAATTAAAGGATAACTTTATGGCTAGTTTGTCTTTAAGTATAAAGAATTTGTGCTTCCTGGGTGGCTCAATGATAAAAGAATCCACCTGCCAAGCAGGAGACATGGGTTTGATCCCTGGGTCAGAAGATTCCCTGGAGAAAGAAATAGCAACCCACTCCAGTATTCTTGCCTGGGAAATCCATGGACAAAGGAGCCTGGTGAGCTACAGACCATGGGGTTGCAAAAGAGTTGGACATGACTTAGCCACTAAAAAACAACAACAGTCAGGAGAAAGTTTTTATGAAAGCAGTATCGCCATTTAGAAGTTCTTTCATAATTTGGAGGATAATGATGATCACTGTAAGTTTTAATTTTTAGTTATAATACTATTAGTTATAGTATTATACTGTAGTAGTATATACTGTTGGGCTTCCCAGGTGGCCCTAGTGGCAAAGAATCTGCTTGACAATGCAGGAGACATGAGACATGGGTTTGATCCCTGAGTTGGGAAGATACCTTGGAGGAGAAAATGGTAACCCACTCCAGTATTCTTGCTTGGAGAATCCCATAGATAGAGGAGCCTGGTGGGCTGTGGTCCATAGGGTTGAAAAGAGTCGGACACAATTGAAGTGATTCAGCATGCATGATGCAGTGTATACTATTAGTTATGGACTTCCCAGGTGGGGCTAGTGGCTAAGAACCCATCTGCCAGTGTAGAAGACATAAGAGACACGGATTTGATTCCTGGGTCAGGAAGATCCCCTGGAAAAGGGCATGCAACTCAGTCCAGTATTCTTGCCTGGAGAATCCCATGGACAGAGGAGCCTGGTGGGCTACAGTCCATAGGGTCACAAAGAGTTGGACACGACTGAAGAGACTTAGCACGCACTGTTAGTTATAATTTGCATAGACTTAGAAATTGTATATAACATTTAGAAGCTAACCTCTTAGATTAATACAAATTAGTTAATTTTGTTGGCATAAAGAAACCTGTGTTCCATAACATGGAAGAGAGAATGAGCTAATGTTGTAGACTTGTTGAGTGACTACTTGTATGTGAAACACTATACTAGTTACTTTGCATATGCTATTTTATTTAATCCTCATAACAAACTTATGGAGCAGGTATTACTGTCTTCCATTTTATAGATGAAAGCTTAGAAGCTTGCCATGATTTCACTGCTATTAAGTGATAGGGCTGGAATTTAGATCTAACGATTTCCAGGTCCTAAAGGCTTGCCCTTTCATTTGTACTTTGCTACCAGAGAATCAGAAGACTTGAAAGCTGTAATATTCCATAGGATTCATTTGAGGTTAAAATAAAGGAGATTTGTTTTAGGAGAACATAGGTAGAAAGAAATACTTGGTCCTACTTTTATAAGCTTTAGCTTTTAGTGATACTTTTTTGAGAGGAGAATAATAAGGTGGTTTTTGTTTGTTTTTTAAATACTACTCATTCTAACTGTAGGCAGCTCTAGACAGTTAAAGGTTTTTCTGATCTGCTGTAGCTGAAGAACCTTAGGTTTCATTCTCTATACTTAGGAGGAATCGATTCAGCACAAACTCTAGCCAGAAGGGATAGCTGGATTGCCTTCTACAAGGAGGACTGAAGAAACAGAGTTATGAAAGATAGAATATTTAATGTACCTTTTAAAATTAAGGTAAAATTCACATAGCATAAAGTTCACCATTTTGTGCTATGCTTAGTCACTCAGTTGTGTCCAACTCTTTGCCATCCTTTGGATTGTAGCCCGCCAGACTCCTCTTGTCCATGGGATTTTTCAGGCAAGAATACCAGAGTGGGTTGCTATTTTCTCCTTTGGGGATCTTCCCAACCCAGGGATCGAACCTGTGTCTCCTGATTGTAGGCAGATTCTTTACCTTCTGAGACATCGGGGGAGCCCAAAGTTCACCATTTTAATCATTTTAAAATGTACAATTCAGTGGTTTTTAACACTAAAAATTCACAGTGGTTTTTTTACACTAAATCACCACTGTCTAATTCCAGAATATTGTTACTACCACGGAAAGAAATCCCATACCCATTAGCAATCATTCCCTCATTCTCCCCTCCCTCTATACCCTGGCATCCGCTAATCTACTTTCTCTCTCTAGGGATTTGCCTGTTACAGACATTTGGTATAATCACACAATATATGCCCTTTTTTATGTCTGGCTTCTTTTATTTAGCACAGTGTTTTAAAGGTCCATCTAGGTGATAGTGCTTATCAGTACTTCATTCCTTTTTAAAAGTGAATCCATATAGACATACTACTTTGTTTATCCATTCATCAGTTGTTGGACATATGAATTATTTCAGAGAACACAGTAAGGCTGTCTTTCATCTACATGTACTAATGTTAATAAGCATAATTTTTTCTATTTCTTTCATATATTTTATATATAAGCATTTATTTATATAAACAACTTCATTGTGATAATTCTTATACCATTATAATTCACACACACATTTAGAGTGTGCAATTCAAAGTTTCTTAGAATGTTCGCACAGCTGTGTAGCCATCATCATAATACATTTTAGGACATTTTCATTACTCCAGAGAGAAACCCTGTACCAGTTAGCAGTCACTCTCCATTTCTCCCCAACCCTTCCAGCCCATTGTAACCAGTAATTTATTTTCTATCTATGAATTTTCCAATTCTGAACATTGCATATAAATGGAATCATATAATAAGTCTTTTGTGGCTGGTTCTTTCACTTAGCATTTTTTCAAGGTTCGTCCGTGTTGTAGCAGGTATCCGTATTGCATTCCTTTTTATGTCTGAATGGCATTTGTTTTTTGAGGTATAACTTACATACAGTAGAATGCATAAACCTTAGGTGTACAGCTCAATAAATGTTTATATGTGTACTTACTCATGTATTAACTAGTACATCCAGAGACCTCCTCACACCACTGCTAGTCAGTATCCACTTTTCCCAGACTGTTTTTTTGTTCTGTGGTTTCTATTCACCATAGATTAGTTTTGCCTGTTTTTGACCTTTACATAGGTGGAATCATAGAATATGTCTTATTTTGTGACTAGCATATACTTTTAGAAACACAAATTACTGTCAGGTATCTCTTTGAGTACTAACTTTTAGAGGATAAATTGTGTTTTTCAATTTAATCTGTAAGTAAATCTAATTACTTCAGAAAATCACACATTTTGGGTCCTTGGTCTTTTTTTTTCTTATGATCTTTGTCTTTTTACTCCTTTTTAAAAATTTTATTTTATTTTTGGCTGTGCTGGGTCTTTGTTGCTGTGTGTGGGCCTTGTTGTGTTGAGTGGGGGCTCACTCTCTAGTTGTGGTGCTTGGGCTTTTCATTGTGGTGGCTTCTCTTGTTGTGGAGCACAGGCTTGAGGTGCATGGGCTTCAGTAGTTGTGACACATGGGCTTAGTTGCCCCACAGTATGTGGGATCTTCTAGGACCAGGGATTGAACTGGTGTCCCTTGCATTACAAGGCGGATTCTTAACCATTGGACCACCAGGGAATCCCTCCCTCATCTTTTCTTAACCTCTTTTTAAAAACATCTAAAAAAAGATAACACACAAATTTCTTAAAAATGACTGTTTTTCTTATAGCTTAAGCATATTTTAAATTAAGCTTATATAAGTGATTTCTAAAAGAAATATATTTTCATTTTAAAACCTTATTTTAAAAATATATCCTTATCTGAAATTAAAAGTGTCTTCCCAGTTTCTGAATATAGCCCTGTCATGATATGATCTGTGTAGAATTTAAAATTCTAAGTGAGCATCATTATAGCCCAACAGAAATTTAAAAAATTGTAAGGGTATATTATGAACAACTCCATTCCAACAAATGTGACAATTCAGGTGAAACAGACTTATTCCTAGAAAGAGCTGAATTGCTAAAACTGATCCAAGAAAAAAATAAAATGTGAATAGACCTGTCCCAATTAGAAATATTGCATTGTCTTTAAGAAAATCTTCCCACAAAAATAAAGCTGGACACAGATGACTTCACTGGTGAATTCTGTCAAACATTTGAGGAAGAAGTAATACCAACCCTATACACTTTCAGAAAATAAAGGAGATAACATTTCATAATCCATTTTATGAGACCAGATATCAAAGCCAGGCAAAAACAGGACAAGAAAAGAAAATTATAGTTCAAAATCCCTCATAAACTTAGATGCAAAGATTCCTAATAATATATTAACAAATTGAATCCCAGAACATATGAAAAGATTTATACAGTGTGATCAAGAAGAATCTCACTCAAGAATGAAAGATTGGCTTAGCATTCTAAAATCAATGCATCTAATATACCATAATTAATTTAAAAAACCAAAATATGATTGTCCCAATATTGTATAAAAGGCATGTGACAAAATCCAACATTCGTTCATTTAAAAACTTTCAACAAGGAATTAATTCACTGGTGGCCCAGTGATTAGGACTCAGTACTTTCTTTGCTGTGTCCCTCGTTCTATCCCTTGTTGGCAAACTAAAATCCTGCAAACTGCTTGACATGGCCAAAAAAACAAAACCCAAAACACCTCTCAACAAACTACAAAAGGAAGAGAGATTTCTCAATCTGATAAAGGACATCTAAGAAAAACCTATAGCTAACTTAATATTTGATGTTGAAAGATTTCATGCTTCTCTAAGAAAAACCTATAGCTAACTTAATATTTGATGTTGAAAGATTTCATGCTTCTCCTCTAAGACTGGGAGTAAGGCAAGAATGTTTGTCCTTGCAATCTCTATTCACCATTGTACTAGAGGTTTCAACTAGTGCAATAAGGGATATGAAAGGAAATTAAAGACATTCAGGTTGGAAAGGAATAACTAAAACTGTCTTTATTCACATACAACATGGTCTCATATGTAGACAGTCCTACGGAATCTATCAAACAAACTGCTCAAACTGATAATTGAGTTTAACAAAGCCACAGGAGATGAGAATCAACTGAACTTACTCATACCAATATACATACACACTTACAAGCCAGTTGCATTTCTCTACACTGACAAGGAACAACCCAAAAATAAAATGAATAAAACAGTTACAAAAGCATCAAATAGAATAAAATACTTAGAAATAAATTTAACAAAAACTCCTAAGTAAGACTTTCCTCCACAGAGGAAAAGAGCATACCTGTATTCATATTTCAGCTTTGCCTCTGAGTAATTACATGCAATTCGTATAACTTCTCTGAACCTCATTTTCCTCATCTTTAAATTGAGGGTATTAACTATCATACTACTTGCCTCACAGGGCTGTAAATGAGAATTAGAACATATTTACAGTATAAAGCATTACACAGTGATGATTCTACTTAAAGAACATGGCAGCTGTTTGCCTTCCCAGTTCCGTACCACTTAAACTAAGTGGTAAGAAAATGCACTTGTGAACTTTGGCACTTTCATCACATAGTTCAGGGTTGGCTCTTCTACCATCTGGTAGAGGAGCTGTCATTCTGGACTTAGTTAGTTGGGACTATGTGTAGCTTCCAGCCACTGTCTACCATGGTGGCTGAAATCATTTATCTTTCATGCTATGATTTGTCCATCTGGTAAAAGGTTGTACTTTCACTTGTCATTTTGGAATGCTTTTATCTTTTTTCCTTTTTAAAGTTATGAAGATTTAGGAAAATTTTTAATCACAGCATGTTTAATAACTTCTGTCAAGCTACCATTTTTTTTTTTTTAGTATTTTATTGAACTTATCTTTTCCTTCATTTTCCTCTTCCTAAGGGTTTACGGCAGCCAGCGCCTTTTTCTGATGAAATTGAAGTAGACTTCAGTAAGCCCTATGTCAGGGTAACTATGGAAGAAGCCAGCAGAGGAACTCCTTGTAAGTAAATGATGAATTATGTTTTTGTTTGACTATTGTTTTTAACATTCAGTTGTATTTACGAAATATACACCTACTTTATATTCTTCCCTCAGTTTACCTGGAAAAGCTAGTTGAGCTTGCTGTTCTATTTGAGAGGATAATGTACCCCATAAAATTTCATTTTTTTCTTCTTATTGTATACTTATTTCCCAGTATTTTTGTCACAGATAGGAGATATAGTGATACACGTTTAGGGCTTTTATCATTATAGCTGGAGATACAGAGGAACAAAGAGGATAAAATATTAACTTGAGCTGGTGTATAATATTGTCTGTTTTTTTCAGAGGCCAGATGATGTCAGACTGTCACATTTTTAATAGTCTTCAGAATTTCCCCCAAGTTTTCCTTTCTATCAGTCTGTACACTAGCTATGATACTACTGATTGATATAGAACAAAAATACCCCAAGTTGGGAGATGCTCTTCACTTAATTTTATCTTTATTGATATTATCGTTTTCCAAGTTTTTCAAAGAAGACTTTTCTTTATTATTTTCAAAGCCCATACTCTTTATTTGTATACTTAGTTTACATCATTAATTAGAAGTTTTTGGCCTCATAAATTATTAATATGTATCCTAGATACTTTCCCTGTTTGGGGCAGTTGGTTTTAGAGATCGTCAAATCCTAGTGTTCATTGCAGCACTGTTTACAATAGTAGAACTTGGAAGCAATCTAAATGTCCATCAACAGAGGAATGGATAAAGAAGATGTGGTCCATCTATACAATGGAGTATTAACTCAGCCATAAAAAGGAATGAAATAGTACCATTTGCAGAGACATGGATATAGACCTAGAGATTGTCATACAGCGTGAAGTAAATCAGAAAGAGAAAAACAAACATCGTATAGTATTGCTTATATGTGGAACTGAGAAAAATGTTACAGATTAACTTATTTGGAAAGCAGAAATAGAGACACAGATGTAGAGAACAAATTTTATGAATACCTGGTGGGGAGGAGAGAGTGGAATGAATTGGGAGATTGGGGTTGATTTATATTCACTACTATGTATAAAATAGATAACTCATGAGAACCTGTTGTATAGCAGAGAAAACCCTACTCAGTGCTCTCTGGTGATCTAAATGGGAAGGAAATCTTAAAAAAAGAGGGGATATATGTATAACTGATTCTCTTTGCTATATAGCAGAAACTAACAACATTAACTGTCCTTCAATAAAAATTAAAAAGAATAAAGCAGAAACTGCACGAGCATTTGTTATGAATACAAAGTCCTGTTGGCATCTGTTCTTACTTCTCTTTAAGTTCTCCAATTCTCCTTTTTTCCCCAATCCTTTTTCATTTCTTTCTTGATTTCTACGGTTTTTATTCTGTAAATGTAGGGCTGGACTCAACCTAGGCAAGCTCTCAGGAATAAAAGGTGGTTATAGCCACAAATCTATATACATTTTCAGTATATAGAAGATATTTATAGTTACTTATTAATTGTGTTAGTATGTTTACTCTCTGTTGTAACTTAGAAGTAGTGAAATGAGTGCTGGACAGTGTCAGGCTAGGATCCTAATACCCTTTGGCTGTATCTTATCCATATATAGTATGGTTTTGATGTCCTCAAAATTCCAGAGAATGTAGTCCTTCTGGAAGAATGTTTAGATATAGCTCATGTTGATCACAACCCTTCTGATTTATGACGTGATTTTTTGGGGGTTTGGCTCCTCTTACTTCAATAATAACTAGGCTAATGAAGCAGAGTAAAATGACACCAAGTAAAGACAGGCTGTATGTGATAGAGTAGTGGTGGCAGGTTAGACTTAAGAATGCTACTGGACAGTTCAGGGATCACATTCAGATGTGATAGTAGAGCCTGTGGAGGGCAAGGACTTTTCATATGCTAATGACACACATTGAGAATGCAGTACCTCACCAGATCTGATCATATTACCCTCCTTGCTAATCTAGCCACATACCACTTGTGGAAGATAAAAATGTATATATATATATGTATACTGTTTCCAAGTTTTGACACTTATAATTAACAAATGCTAAATAGTAAATCTAACTTATAAAAATCTTATAATAGTAGAATTTTACAGGTAAGTCATTTTTGAGATTATATACTTTATAGTCTCTTCATTATATACATGAATAAAGGTCCATAGAAATTAAGAAGTGAAGTTTCCCCTACAGTGAAACAAATAATTAGTGATAGAATTGTAGCTAAAACCTAAGTTTTTCCATCTTTGTGTTCTTTTCACCCTGGAGTGTTGTTATTCTTTGTAGACATCAGTTACAAATAATAGAAGACCATCAGCAAAGTGATTATATCTTGGGTGGAAGAAATAGTCCCAAATTGGCCTATAAAGTTTGCCAATTTGACCTCTGGTTTTTCCTTTATCTTATTCTCTCTGTTCAGTGTTATGTTAAATAACCAAGTAATTGATTGTCTTCATGCCAGTGCCAGATGAGGAATAAACCAATAAAGAATCTACACATGCCATCATTAGTGAATTTTAAACCAATAACTGGTTCAAGAGGCATCCCTGCCCTGCCCCCAGCTTTTCATTTACGGAGGTTAAGGGAGAGTACAAGAGGGAAGTTTGCGTAATCTTGGAGTAAATGCACTACTTAGAGATAAAAGGAGTATGACTTGAGAGATAAGAAGATTGTCTCTTTTCAGTTCAGTTCTGTTGCTCAGTCGTATCTGACTCTGAGACCCCATGGACTGCAGCACACCAGGCTTCCCGCTCCATCACCAACTCCTGAAGCTTGCTCAGACCTCATGTCCATTGAGTCAGTGATGCCATCCAACCATCTCATCCTCTGTCATCCTCTTCTGCTGCCTTCATTCTTTCCCAGCATCAGGGTCTTTTCTGATGAGTCAGTTCTTCATATCGGGTGGCCAAAGTATTGGAGCTTCAGCTTCAGCATCAGTCCTTCCAATGAATATTCAGGACTAATTTCCTTTAGGATTGACTAGTTGGGTCTCCTTGAAGTCCAAGGGACTCTTAAGAATCTTTTCTAGCACAATGGTTCAAAAGCATCAATTCTTTGGTGCTCAACTTTCTTTATGGTCCAACTCTCACATCCATACATGACTACTGGAAAAACCGTAGCTTTTACTAGATGGACCTTGGTTGGCAAAGTAATGTCTCTGCTTTTTAATATGCTGTCTAGGTTGGTCATAGCTTTTCTTCCAAGGAGCAAGCGTCTTTTAATTTCATGGCTGCAGGCACTATCTGCAGTGATTTTGGAGGTGAAGAAATAAAGTCTGTCACTGTTTCCATTGTTTCCCATCTATTTGCCAAGAAGTGATGGTACTGGATGCCTTGATCTTAGTTTTCTGAATGTTGAGTTTTAAGCCAGCTTTTTCACTCTCCTCTTTCACTTTCATCAAGAGGCTCTTTAGTTCCTCTTTGCTTTCTGCCGTAAGGGAGATGTCATCTACATATCTGAGGTTATTGTTATTTCTCCCAGCAATCTTGATTCCAGCTTGTGCTTCATTCAGCCCAGCGTTTCTCATGATGTACTCTCCCTATAAGTTAAATAAGCAGGGTGACAATACAACCTTGACATACTCCTTTCCTAATTTGGAACCAGTCCATTCCATGTCCAGTGCTAACTGTTGCTTCTTGACCTGCATACAGATTTCTCAGGAGGCAGGTCATGTGGCCTGGTATTCCCATGTCTTTAAGAATTTTCCAGTTTGTTGTGATCCATACAGTCAAAGGCTTTGGCGTCATCAATAAAGCAGTAGATGTTTTTCTGGAATTCTCTTGCTTTTTTGATGATCCAATGGATATTGGCAATTTGATCTCTGGTTCCTCTGCCTTTTCTAAATTCAGCTTGAACATCTGGAAGTTCATGTACCGTTGGAGCCTGGCTTGGAGAATTTTGAGCGTTACTTTACTAGCATGTGAGATGAGTGCAATTGTGTGGTTGTTTGAACATTCTTTGGCAATGCCTTTCTTTGGGATTGGAATGAAAACTGACCTTTTCCAGTCCTGTGGCCACTGCTGGGTTTTCCAAATTTGCTGGCATATTGAGTGCAGCACTTACACAGCATCATCTTTCAGGATTTGAAATAGCTCAACTGGAATTCCATCACCTCCACTAGCTTTGTTTGTAGTGATGCTTCCTGAGGCCCACTTGACTTTGCATTCCAGGATGTCTGGCTCTAGGTGAGTGATCACACTATAGTGGTTATCTGGGTCATTAAGATCTTTTTTTGTATAGTGCCTCTCTGTTTTCTTGCCACCTCTTCTTAATATCTTCTGCTTCTGTTAGGTCAGCACCGTTTCTGTCCTTTATTGTGCCCATCTTTGCATGAAATGTTCCCTTGGTATCTCTAATTTTCTTAAAGAGATCTCTAGTCTTTCCCATTCTGTTGTTTTCCTCTGTTTCTTTGCATTGATCACTTAGGAAGGCTTTCTTATCTCTCCTTGCTATTCTTTGGAACTCTGCATTCAGATGGGTATCTCTTTCCTTTTCTCCTTTACCTTTCGCTTCTCTTTTCTCAGCTATTTGTAAGGCCTCCTCAGACAACCATTTTGCCTTTTTGTGTTTCTTTTTCTCGGGGATGGTTTTGACCACCACCTCCTGTACAGTGTCAAAAACCTTCATCCACAGTTCTTCAGGCACTCTGTCTGTCAGATCTAATCCCTTGAATCTATTTGTCACTTGCACTGTATAATCGTAAAGGATTTGATTTAGGTCTACCTGCATGGTCTAGGGTTTTTCCTACTTTCTTGAGTTTAAGTCTGAATTTTCAGTAAGGAGTCACAGTCAGCTCTTGGTCTTGTTTTTGCTGATGGTATAGAACTTTTCCATCTTTGACTGCAAAGAATATAATCATTCTGATTGTGGTATTGTCCATTTGGTGATGTCCATATGTAGAGTCATCTCTTGTGTTGTTGGAAGAGGGTGTTTACTATGACCAGTGAGTTCTCTTGGCAAACTCTGTTAGCCTTTGTCCTGCTTCATTTTGTATTCCAAGGCCAAATTTGCCTGTTACTCTAGGTATCTCTTGACTTCCTATTCTTGTCTCTTTTAGAAGCTGAAAGGACTTTTTTCTCTTTTAGAAAAGAAGAAAAAGGCAAGAGTCTGAAGGGCAATGGAAATCTGTTAAAGATGGAATGTTTCAATGGTAGCTATTGAGAGAATATATCAAAAGAAATAATAAATTGAAACCCAGGTCTTTTCTGTTTAAAGGAGAACATCTAGTTACTTAGTCTAGAAGTAGTGCAAAGACTGTAATTTATAATCCAAATCAAGACCATTTTTGAAAGTGAAAGCAGTTGCTCTTGATAATGTGCTGGAACAGCAGATGTAGGTCAAAGGGTATAGTCATCCTGGCCAGTAGCCATTTGGTAAAAGAATGCAAAACACATTCTTTCTCCCTAGATTTTTAGTTCAACAGTGGCCCCTTCTGGTCAGTTGATTAATACACAAGCCTGGATTTTCCAAAGACTTGGGGTTAAAACATAGAGAATTGAGAGGTTGGGGTCCTGGGGAAATGCTGAAGAGAGCAAGAGGCACATCTGGGGCTAATCCAAGAAAGTTCAGAGTGATTTGGCCTAATATAGATGTTTAACTGCTGGCAAATAGCCACTCAGTTAACAGCATTCTGTCCTACTGCCACTATCCAGGAAATGTGTTTACTGAGGTAAATCTCCCTCATCTCACTTTGCCCTTGTTATATACTAATGGCAAAGAAACACCAATACAATATTCTCAAGTTTTATATTCTATCTGTTGTCTTTTAGGATCAAATAAAGTGAGATCATAACTACTCTGGACTTGTTTAGAAAAGAAGTGTGTTGGTTACTTCATGGTCATGATTTCTAGGATGTTGAAGAGAGATTATACTACTCAGATTGGGCAGGGGGTTGCTTTGTTTTGTAGGTGAGGAAATTGATACTTAAAGAGATTAAGATTACATAGCAATGTAGCTTGTTGGCAAGCTTAAGATATAACTTTTTCCTACTCCTAAATCCATCATATTACTTCTCTGTTTTTTGTTGTATTGGTGTATTTATTTTATTTACAAATTTTACTTCCTATAAAATCAATGTGTTCCCATGACCTAACATTGAAAAAGGACACAGAGTGAAATGTCTTTCTTCTCACTACTATCTCACATCCACTTAGTATCCCTTTTGCAGGCCACCAGTATTACCAATTTCCTATGGATATCTAAGCAAATAATATGAGCAAAGTCTTCCCACAGTTTTAGTGGGTGGATCATGTCATAGTCAGTCTTCCAATGAAGTTTAGGTTGTTTCCAAATTTTTGCTATTACAAACAGTGCTGCAATGAATAATGCAATCTGCATACATATTTACAAGCATACCCGTGAGATAAATTTCTAGAATTGGAATAGCTGGGCTAAAGGGTATAAACATTTGTCCTTTGTCTTTTGACAGATATTGCCTAATTTCCTTTCTTAAAAGTTATACCAGTTTATATTTCTATCAGCAGTGTATGATTTCTCAGTTTAAAAACTATTCATTTATGGATAAAGCTATCTATAAAGAAAAGTCCATAAGCCTCCTGAGAACCTGTTTCCTCTCTTGATTCATTGTCCTCAAGGCAGGAAGGAGATGTATCTTACCCCTACCTTCAGTATGGTGTATTTGATAAGGCTCTAACCCTTCTTTCCAAAAATACCACAGATTCTCTTACTGTTCTTTTTTGCTGCTACAGTGAAACAACTCTTCTTTTATTCATGTAGTGGAAATAGGTTGCCTAGGACTCATTAGATTTATCATTTGAAGCATGATGAACTACTATATCAATTTCTTTCTCAATGTGTTTACTTGACTTTAGAATTAGTCTTGTACCCTAGGATATCATTTCCTGCTTTTTCTTTCACAGTCTACTACCACTAAAAATAAGTTGACAGTCATTTATTATTTTCAGTAATGGACAGGAGAAGAGGAAAAGCTCTAATATAAAGTTCTAAAAGTATTTATATATGATTTTCAAGTATTTTCTATATCACTCTATACTGAGAATGTGTAACATATTCACTACCAAGGAGAAATGCTTGAAGAAATTCCATCTGTTACCACAGAGCAGATGGTGAGGGTGAATCTGGGACTGAGAAGCAATAGATTGATAACTGGTGCTTACCTTGCCTCTTTTTCAGTCTCACTCCTCTGGATCACTCTTTACTTTCAAAGCAAAGTATTTTATTTTCAAAGCAAAGTGTTAGTCATTAGTAATCACAGCAGCTTGAAAATGAGAGAGCAGGCAGCCAGAGTATAGTTTAATTATAGTCTGTTTAAACATAACTGAAGTTTAAATATAAGCCAAAAATGATGATTTTAAAGTTTCAGATATGTCTCTTGTATAACTCTTCCCTTCACTTCTTAAATAACTTCAAGAAAAAATAATCAAGAAACCCTATTACCTGATCGATTTGATAAACCTAGGCTGACAAAGAGAGTTAGTGGCTATGATGCCAAGAGGGTCTGTGGAATTCTGTGGTGTTACTCCTTACAATCCCCAAACACCCCAAATTAAGGTGAATAGCCAGAGAATGCCTTTAAAGGGAGTTGTGCAAGAATGGAACAGTCACACAGTGCCATTTCCATTTGTTAAATATGAGGTATTGAGTTAGTATGTTTGTCTGATAAATTCTTTCCTTTGGATATAGGTGAACGGCCTGTGAGAGTTTATGCAGATGGAATATTTGACTTATTTCATTCTGGTCATGCCCGGGCTCTAATGCAAGCAAAGAACCTTTTCCCTAATACATACCTCATTGTGGGAGGTAAGAAAACACCTGCTGACTTAGGTGCTGTCCAGAAAAAATTATAGTAGCCTTTTTTCTCTTGTCTTTATAACCTGAGTACATTGACTCTTATTTTGGTTTTTAAATGAGGGATATAGTGTAGCCTCTTTATTAATTTATTTTTTTTCCATTTATTTTTATTAGTTGGAGGCTAATTACTTTACAGTATTGTAGTGGGTTTTGTCATACATTGACATGAATCAGCCATAGATTTACATGTATTCCCCATCCCTCTTTAAAATGTGAAGTATATGAAGAATATGAAGTAACTAAAACCTGAACTGTATAAACCTGGATTAGAGATGCTTTAAGCTCATTCACTTGAGATGTCTAGGATTTATCTCACCGGTTTTGGCTGGTTTCTGCAGTCTGATCCCCTAGTACCTACTTAAAAATAGCATTTACTTTAGATTTCAGTTTATCATCCTAACATGACTCTGTATGTTTGTATGTGTACTGTGCATGCTTGGTTGTATGACTTTGTGACCCTGTGGACTCTAGCCCACCAGGCTCCTCTGTCCATGAAATTTTCCAAGGAAGAGTACTGGAGTGGGTTGCCATGCCCTTCTCCAGGGGATCTTCCCAACCCAGGGATTGAACCCACATCTCTTGCATCTCCTGGCATTGGCAGACAGATTTTTTACCACTGCACCACCTGGGAAGCCCCTCAGTTTATCATTCTGAATCAGCTGAAGTACAAAAGTCTGCTAAGCAAATGTTATGTGGTCCAATCCAAGCTAATAGGGCTTCACTGGTGGCTCAGATAGTAAAGAAGCTGCCCGCAATGTGGGAGACGAAGCTTTGATCCCTGGATCGGGCAGATCCCTGGGAGAAGGGAATGACAACTCATGCCAGTATTTTTGCCTAGAGAATCCCATGGACAGAGGAGCAACCTGGTGGGCTACAGTCCGTGGGGTCACAATAAGTCGGACATGACTGAGCAACTGACACTTTCCAGTCTAATAGGAAAACATTTTTTTAAAACTGTTCATTGATGCACAAATGTACAGTAGGTTCATTTCAAGCCAAAGAACTTATTCTTCTGTTGTATCCTCTCCTTTCCAGCGTGTGAACATATTGAGTGTTGCTCCCGAAGGTGTATCTTGGATTAGGGAAAGCATTGTTATCCAGACTGAGCTACATTTAAAATACTGTTATTCAAGTGGGGTGATTGGTTACAATCCTAGGAAATGGTAGAGGTTGGTAGAGGGGACTTTGACTTATACCCTTATGATGTGGTGAACTCAGTTTGCAGTGATGAGCTAACACACAACTTCAAAGGCTTCACCGTGATGAATGAAAATGAGCGCTATGATGCAGTGCAGCACTGCCGCTATGTGGATGAGGTGGTGAGGAATGCCCCCTGGACCCTGACACCAGAGTTCCTGGCAGAACACCGGGTAAGAAACTGAGTACATGTTCCCATTCCCTGTTTTATAATTCCCTCAACTTTGAAGGCTTCTGGTACTTGGGCTAGTTTTCCACTAGCTTTATTTTACTTCTCCCTTCTCTGTAAATTTAATATAGAAGAGATGATGATGTTATTACTTCTTTTTTTTTTTTTATGGTATTACTTCTAATAATAGTCATCCCTGACATTTTTATTGTATTTGATAGTTTAGAGGTGCTTTTACATCCATTATATTTCATTTGTTCCCCACAAAAGTCCTGTTGGGTAGTTATTAGTTATTTCCACTTTACATATGAGAACAGGGCCAGAGAGGTCAAATAACTAGGTTATACTCTGGCAGGGCTAGAAATTGAACCTCTTCAGCTTTGGAGTCTACACACCCCCACCCTTTCCCCCATAGGTGTGTCCATCCTCATAGCATACCAGCCTCTTTAGAGTATACCTAGGCCCAGCCATGCTCTCAGTTCAGTTCAGTCACTTAGTTGTGTCTGACTCTTCGCGACGCCATGGACTGCAACACACCAGGCCTCCCTGTCCATCACCTTCTCCTGCCGCCTTCAATCTTTCCCAGCATCAGGGTGTTTTCAAATGAGTCAGTTCTTCTCATCAGGTAGCCAAAGTATTGGAGTTTCAGCTTTAGCGTCAGTCCTGCCAGTGAATATTTAGGACTGATTTCCTTTAGGATGCACTGGTTTGATCTCCTTGTAGTCCAAGGGATTTTCAAGAGTCTCTCCAACAGCACAGTTCAAAAGCATCAATTCTTTGGCACTCAGCTTTCTTTATAGTCCAACTCTCACATCCATACATGACTACTGGAAAAACCATAGCTTTGAGTAGACAGACCTTTGTTGGCAAAGTAATGTCTCTGCTTTTTAATATGCTATCTAGGTTGGTCATAACTTTTCTTCCATGCTCTCAAGGAGCTCACATTCCAGGAAATAAGATATAGAAACATGGACTTATCTTGTACTGGCTTAAATTTAGTTTCAAGACTTTTAATTTCAGGCTAGAAATTATGTGGGGTCAGAAACCAGGGAGGTTTCTCACTTTGTCTCAGTGAGTTGGTATTATAAAAATCCTTATCTCCTTTTTATTTTCCCATATTAAAAAAGCAGATTTCCTACAAAAGATGGGATTATAGCTGAGAAGAACTTACCAGGTCAGGTTGGAGGCCCTCAAGCTTGAGGAACCAGCAAGCATGTTGTCAGTTGTCTACAGTAGTGTGTAGAATGTTGAAAGTAAATTGTCCAGTGAGACAGGAAAGAACAAAAGTAGCCAAAGTGCTCCAAAAGCAGTATTTGGGTAGGCCTGAAGCTAAGGGATATTTGTTACAACTATTTAGGATTAGGGCAGACCTTTATAGTTCTGTAGCTTTTCTGCATCATCATTTAGCAGCCAGTGGTACCAAAGGTGAAGAGCAAGATTATTCTCAGCAACACAGCCAGGCAGGCCCAGGCAGAAGAGGTTAGAGGGACTCCCAGATTCCCTTTTTTCTCCTTGTTAGTAGTATATCGTCAGTCATGAGTCTGTCTCGCTCACCATTCTTATTTTTACTTTGCTGCCTTTGTGTCCCTGACAAATTGTTCATGGGTAATTGATATGTTAGCTGAGAGTTCCTGACATAGTCCTGATGAGCATAACATTACAATGGCTTCTGGGAGCTGGGTATGGTGGTATTAGCAATTATATTAACAAAGGAGATATGGCCTATTCAGGATGGAGTAAATAAATGAGGTTTAGAAAGATTGTTGATCCCAGTGCAAGAGGTATTGACAGTAGTAAATAGATCTGACACCTAAAGTTCTTTTATGGGGCTCTTGGTTGCTATTTTTATATTGCCACTTATCTCACAGACTTACAGAAAAACCAGTTAACAAAGAAGTGACTTCTTTCTCATATTTTTAGAAACCCTGTTTGACCAGTTCTTGTAGAGCCAGGAGGATAGGGAGGTTTCTTTTCTTCTTTTCTTGACTCCATCCACTAGCTAGCATACCAGAAAATCCTCCAGGCCTATTTCCCACCCATGGTGACTGGTATTCAGTATGAGGGTAGCACTTCCAGGAACCAGGAGGAGCAACTAGAAAAGAAACTGGCTACCTTCATGTTTATGATCCATAAACAGTTAGGTTGGATCACTTGTAAAAGAATCGTGAAATTTATGAGCTGAGCAAGGAGAGACAAAGAGAAAAGTTCATTTGAGGCCTGGCTTCACCTTGTGGCCCTTTTTCTGGGCCACAGAGTGTTGCCTGGTTCTTTCTGAGTAGCACTTATCCTGAGTTTTAATGATGTTTCCTTATTTTCAGATTGATTTTGTGGCTCACGATGACATCCCTTATTCTTCTGCTGGGAGTGATGATGTTTATAAGCACATCAAGGAAGCAGGTGAGTAAGCTGATGTGCATCCTCATTTTATGGAGTCTTGGGAACAATGACGTATTCAATCACATCACTACAGAGGAAAATTTATACAGTGAGAAATTCAACATCCACTTTTAGGTCACATTTTGGATAAGAGGTTAAAGTGAGCATAGCATCATATCCATCAGTTCTCAGTCTAAACATCTACTTTTGTTATCTCTCTTAATTTCAAGAAACCCTTCTTCAGCCCCATTCTTTTCTTAATATTAGGACCTTTCCTTACTCCTAACCCTTGATTCAGTCTTCCTTTTGTATGTCAGCATCTCAGACTGTACTTAGTAATAGCAGACTCTGCTTTTTGAGGATAGGAGAGGACTGTGGCTCCCAGTTTCCATCTAGTCCTACTGCCTGAGCTATTCAGAGTATCACAGTGTTTGTGTTTTTGGGTTAGGCATGTTTGCTCCAACACAGAGGACAGAAGGTATCTCCACATCAGACATCATCACTCGAATTGTCCGTGACTATGATGTGTATGCCAGGCGGAACCTCCAGAGGGGCTACACAGCAAAGGAACTCAATGTCAGCTTTATCAATGTAAGTTCTAACCTCATCCCAGAGTTCCCTGGCCCTATAGCACATGTTGCCTCTCACTTTGTCTAAGTTAAACTTGCTCTTCGATCTACTCTTATTATCACCTCCAAAAGCTCAGTGGATACCTCTTTGCACATAGTACTATGCCAGGCTTTTTACAAAGAGCATTTGGATGTATCTGTTCTATAAAAAGAAGCATTATCTGCCTTTATGGTCTGGTATCACAACATTGATATAAGGACATACAAGCAATTAAATAAGAATGTGTAACTTACAAAGTACAGTGTTTATATCAAATACATTTAAAACAGTGGTTCTTAACTTTTTTTTTTATTGTATGGTCTTTATAAATCTGATGAAAACTGTGGATCTTCTCCCTGTGTGGATAGTAACACACAACATTTTGCATGCAACTTCTCAAGGCACATGGAACTAACTTTTAAAATTTGATTTATGAAAGCAAGTTTATCTTAACTTAACATTGCCCTTAGAAACAAACTGCTATACATTTTGTATATAAATTATACCTCAGTAAAGTTGATTTAAAAAGAAGAAAGCTGCTGTGTCTTCTATACGTGAGTAATTTACCATGCTCCCTCATTTGTTCCCAGCTCTGTGAATTATGAATGGGTAAAATGGTTTCATCTAAATTGATTTATCTGTGCAGATAAATGCTGGCTGCTGTTAACAACCTTGCTGTTGTTAACACTGCAGAATTTATTTTCAGGTGTTTAAGAATCTTAAACATACTCCCCTTCCCCTTTATGATCTGAAAATGAGAACACTTTTCATTTGGCTAAAGACTCCTTCCCTCCCTTTGGGAGAGTTCATACCATTTTTCCCTTATTTTTAGGGAAGCTGACAGGACCAATGAGTATCATCCTTATTTTGCAAATGAGCAAACAGACCTCCAGATGTTTAAAAAAAAAAAAAAAAATGAAACTCCTCTGTAGTCATAGAATAAGCCCGTGATGGAGGGAAAATTTTAGCATAATAAATGAATTAAGTAAAAGGTCTGCTACTTTCTTTTTCAACCTGTTAGAGTTGACTTGTTGTTGGCAATACTGTACAGTGATCTTGTTGCTCCCTCCCTATACATATACATCTCCATCTAGAATGGGGTTTTGGGTTTTGTTGGGCATGTATATCTTCCAAGTTAATATTTTGTTTTAAAAAATCTGAGTTTGTTTGGTATATGCCAGTCTGTTACTGGGCTTACCCTGTGCATTTAGTTTAGTCCTGGGCTCTACAACCTTAGAATTATTACACTTTTACATAGGATGACCATCCAGAGCTTATCGTTTCTGTTACAATGCTAAGGAAGTATGGGATATATTAAAGTAAAGTGAAATTCTCAAGACCGAAAGGAGTGTCTAAATAGAGTACCAAACCAAGTCTTTTTCTTCCCCTTGGTATGGATGGTCAGAGTGAGTATTATTTCTCAAAACAGTTATTTCTTTATTCAGGAGAAGAAATACCACTTGCAGGAACGAGTTGACAAAGTAAAGAAGAAAGTGAAAGATGTGGAGGAAAAGTCAAAAGAATTTGTTCAGAAGGTGGAAGAAAAAAGCATTGACCTCATTCAGAAATGGGAAGAGAAATCCCGAGAATTCATTGGAAGTTTCCTGGAAATGTTTGGTCCAGAAGGAGCCCTGGTATGTTCCTTCCTGCTGGGCAATTTAGGGAAATTCAGGAAAATCTTATGCTGTGAAAGGAACTATAGAATCCTTGAGCAGAAAGGGACACTGACAATAAGAAGTTATCTAATATGTTCCCTTTATTGGGCAGAACTATATTTCAACTATCTCCAGAAAGGTTTTAAAAATCTTTACAGAAAGTGGTTATACATTCTCCTAATTTTGCCAGCTCTCTATAAACCTCCAAATATGGTGACAAGTGAGTAACCTTGCCTAGCTTGCTTCTACATTACAATTTTGGATAGAAGGAAAGGAAAGAGCAAAGAGCAGTTTAAAAAAAAAAAAAAAACTGCCTCCACTAAAAGCAGCCACTGCAGGATTGCTGGGTAAGGTGGGAATTCTGTCCTTGAGGAATAGGAATATAGAATTTTCAGAGAACCCCCAAAACGAGGGTAGGTACTCTTTTGTCTGAGTTAATTCCTTTGTTTTTGCCTAGAACCTAGACTACAGACCAACAAGTAGCCTTTTAAGAATTCCTTTGACATAGAAGTCAAAGATTGGGTGACAGTGGATAGCAGGTGGGAACCCTTAGACATGTAGTATAGCATAACCACTTTGACTGAGAAATTGCTTAGAATTGTATCTGTGGCTTACTTGGTCACTTTTGACATTACAGAGGGCACTCAGGATAATTTGAAGTCTCAGATCTCCTCCATTGGTTAGTAGGATCCATAGGTTTCTTCTAACTCTTCCTTTTGGTCTCCCCAGAAACATATGCTGAAAGAGGGGAAAGGCCGGATGCTGCAGGCCATCAGTCCAAGGCAGAGTCCCAGCAACAGCCCCACTCGTGAACGTTCCCCCTCTCCCTCTTTCCGGTGGCCCTTCTCTGGCAAGACTTCCCCGCCTTCCTCCCCAACAAACCTCTCCAGACACAAGTCTGCAGCCTATGATATCAGTGAGGATGAAGAAGACTAAAATTTCATCTCTCCTTTCTCCTCCCCTCCCTCTGTCCCATCACCTTCAGAAGCTCTCTGTTGAATTCCAGATTGTGATCCCAACACTAATCCTAAGGACAGCTACAAAGGAAAGACAGTTGGGGCAAGAGGACTTAGGATGGGGGGACAGACAGCCTATCCTTGGAGAGACATCACCCACCCCACCAAGAAGGAGGCTAACTACATCTTAGATGCCTGTTCTGCATTCATATACCCTCCCCGTGGACTTTGCTTTACTGTTTATGTTCATGTGCTCTTGACAGGGAAATTGTCATTTTTATTAATTTTTAAAAAATTAGTCTTTCAAATGTAGTAAGTAGAACTAATTTTTTGCCCCCGAGGAGTGGGCAGAAGGAAGTGGTGTAATACCCAGAGGCCTTTTCTTCCTGATACACCATAGTGTTTGCCTTCTATTCTCAGGCAAACTGTCTTGCCAACTCCTTCAGGCTGTGAGCCATGGGTGCCTGATGGGTGATTTGGAGGGGAAATATCATAATCTTGGTTTCCTTTTTTAAAAAAAGCTAAAAGCTGAGTAATAGCCACAAATCCCCAATGTACTGCTGGCACGTGGTCCGTGTGGCTGAGGGAAGAAGGAGATCTGAGTCTGACTTTTCTTACTCCCTGAGGAGTTTCTTGTTGGACCCAATGGGGTCCATGAAGACACTGATGGGGATGGAACCAGACCACATGGCATCAGCTGCGGTTTCTACACTGTGTTCATCTCTCAGAAAACTCTGTTGCCCAGTTATTTGGGAGCTCTTGTCAATCTCTTTTTTGTAATCTTTAAATTCTTCCTACCTTTAAAGGGAGGAACACTTTCAGGTTTACTCTGATTGAGGAGGGGAGTTGGACAATACTCAATCCTATACAAAGTCAGTTTAATTTTCCTTTGGGAGTAAGTCCCTGGCCCTACTAATCCTATCTTAATACGCGTTTCCTAGCTTTTTACAAAAGATACTTTGTAAATGTCTGCAGTTTGAACATGATCTGTTAATCCATGTTGCTCATTAACCACATTGAATATTGAGAGAGGTTTGCAGAGAACATAGGTGCAAATGCATATGGAAACGCACCCCTTTTTAAAGCCTTATCTTGACCTCTTCCCCTTGTAATAGTATCCTTGACTGGAACCAGTGCTTCATGAGGTGTTTCTTTTCCCTAGGGAGTTGGCATCTGGCAGGGACTCCCGTCACTGCCCCTCTAGCAAGTCACCAGTGGCTCACATTACAAGAGTGTGGTAGATTCCCTCCCTCTCTCTCTGCCTGCTCCCATCTCCCCTGTTATGTTGCCCAGGGGATTCACCACTTAAATTTCACATCAGAGAATGCTGAAGCTTAAGCACTCGGTGTTGAGCATGAGCTCCTTTTCAACTTGTAGCATCCTACAGCACATGACCTAGCAGATCATTATCTATCATAATCCTAATCCTTATCATATCATAAGGTTCAGGGGAAATTTGCATCTGTCCAGGGCCCATCTCATCACTCATCAATACCCCTTGTAGGGGTGGAGTTTTAGTGTTTTCAGCTAAGAGAACCACATTTTATCTTTCCTTGCCCCTCTAAGGTTGTGAGCATCTCATAGTCCCCTTGCTGAACACTTTCTGGTAAAACTTGCTCTTATGCCTGAGGGCCAGTGGCTCGAGTTACTGCCTGCCTGCACAGCAGGACTACCTAGGTTCTTAAAACTCAGATCATCCAGAGAAGCAGAGTGCAGCAGAGTAGAGGAATAAACAGGGTGAACCTCTTGCTGTCCTGATGGCCCATGAAAATAACATTTCTAACTCTTTTCATGAAGTGCTATTTTTACTATCAAATCTAGTTTACACAAGCTTTGACTTGGAATCCTTTTTTTGGAACTGTTGAAGTTAATGTTTTCCTACAATACCCAGCTTTGTAGGGTCACATATTTTAACTTTTCTGCTTCATTCTACCCTTTTTGGGAATTCTGCCCATTTCTGTTGATAGAAAAACGTGAAATCACCACTGAAACCCACCTACATTTTCTCTCAAAATACATGTTGTCCAAGTATATTTGGAAAGGGAGGCAATCAGAGTGTGATTTTCCTCCGTGCAGTCACTCCTCACAGGTATTGTCTGGGTCTCAAGTGTTTGGCCTTCCTCCTCTGCTGTGTAGATGGGCTGCTTTTGGCATATCCTGTCCTTGGAGTATGATCTCTAGGCTAACAACCTCCATGAAACTGCTAGCCTGGCATGTACATGTATTGTCAGAAAACTCTCACCCCTTCTGGTGAGCCTCTCTGGCCTCAGTCTCCTAACACAGTATATCTCCATGAAATTTTGACTGAAAGCAAAAAACTTTATGGCATGGCATACTAGGTACTTTGGGATAAATGTGATCCTATGTTCTGGACAACAGTGGGTGGGTGGAGGAAGTTGGGATGATGCATTATTTGATCATTTGTGCCTAATTACATGAAGTTAGAGGTTTGCATTCCACAACCATGTGTGTGATCTGTAAATCTTTAAATATTGTTGTTAATATTAACTTCTAACATTAATTTTAATAATACTTAAACCCTAAATTGCACAAGCAAAGCTGTCAGCCTGAATAGGCCAAATGTGGCAGAAATGGGAGAGCCTTAAAAGTTAGTTGGCCTTATAGCCTTTCTCTGTAATAGAAGGAGAAGGGAGACAGAAGCCTTGTAGCCAGTGCTGAGGAGGTGCCATTTCATCAGTTACCTTGAGATGAGCTGGGCAGAAAGTTTGTTTTTTTCATACACTAGACTCCGCAGCACTGAAGGGTAGAGGTTGAAATTTTAGAGGAATAGAAATCGGTCATTTGTACTGTTCCAGCTGCTTCTGATCACTAGAGCCAAAGACCATTATTTTGCTGAGGCTTGGGTAAGAAGGTTGGGTAAGAAGGTGAGGAGGTTGAAAGTCGTGAATAAGAGAAAAAATTTGAGGGAGGTCAAGAGAGCTTTTCACCTTTTCTGATCACTGATAACATCGCAGGCAGCACCTGAGTTACATTTTTCTTATTTGTGACCACACAGCTGTCCAGAAAGTCTTTGAATATTCCCTCCACAATGATTCTTCACAGTGCTTTTTATTCTTTCTTGATTTATGGGCAGTTTTTGTTTTTCTGGAGCTCATTGCCTTATTAATCCTGTTTCAGACCCTATATCTAAAAATCTTTCCAAATCAAGTCTATTTTGCTGCTTTTGTTTAATTTCCTAAAAGCCATAGCTTTTACATGTTCTGTCAGCAAACTATCACCAAAAGTTGAACCAATGCAGGTAGGAGAAAAGCTCCCTTAACAATGTTTTTAACTAATGGTATTTTTTTCAAGCTTATCAATATAAGTATTTTTAAAGTTATATTTTTCAAGGTCATACAATGATTGTTCTTGTTTTCTCTCATGGAATAGATTGTCATGGGATAAAGACTGGTCCCTAGCTATTATTTTTGCAGATAAGTAGAACATGTTTTGGGGATTATACAATTAAATGTTAATTTTCTTTAAAAGAAAGAAGAAATATTCTGTCTGCCAAAGTTTAATGTTAGTACTTAGATTGGGGTAGAAAACAAAAGTAGTTGGTTTAACATTAAAATGACTCCAGTTCTGTTTTCTTAGCTTTCAAGTGGGCTTTCCCACCATTCTTAGGGAGACACTGACTGTTTTGAACACAGAGACTTGATTGGTTGAGTTGTTTTGTTTTGTGGATCCTGAGAAGAAAGAGTGTTGGAAAGAAATACTGGCCTTGGCATGAATGTTGGCCCCATCACCAGTGCTGGTTTCCACAAGGACGTTTTCCTCAATTGGTGTTCAGTTTATTTTTTTCCGGTCTGAGTGTTATTAAATTGTTATTGTTCAGTTATTTTGGCTTTTGTCATTAGCCAAATAAAGGCAAAGTGATTTTACCTAATGTTCCATTTTATATGTTTTGACCTGGTATACACGTGTATGATATATTTTATGTATTTGAGACTTTTTACCTGTATGATCAATTCCTTTACTTTTGCATCCTAATTTGTCTCCTCAGAGTCACTGCATGACCATATCATTGCAATTCCTTTTGCCGCTTGGTACAGAAGACTCAAAAAGCCACTGGCCCACAAAGGGAGGCTGATCTAGATCGCCCAGGTCTAATGTCATCAGCGCCCTACTGACACATCTGTAAGGGAAGAAAACAACTTCCATCTGTTCTTCAGAAGCCTGGTTTCTTTGAGACTTTGGGTTCATACTGTTTTGCCTGGCTGAGTTCTATTCCTGTTACTATACCAAGAAAACTGTCATACACTCTTCTCCCTTTCACTTGCTTTGGGAAAGCTCAGAGTAACCTTTTAATATACAATCTTGATGGGCTAATAGTGGCACCCATGGAGGCAATGTGCCCAGTTGTAGAAAATCAAACTCCATCCTGTTTATTAAGCTTAAAATACCTTCCTCAGGCAAGATCCAAAACAATTTCATCCTATTGCATAGTTCTCATTCATCTCTACAGTCAAGCATACATCATTTGCCAGCTTGCACTGACGATAGAATTGGTCCCCATTTGGTCAAGGTTGAAGAACAGTAAAGAAACCTTGTGCCCGTCTGATGAATACAGTGTCTCTTTCATTGTCCAAGCCATTCACCTCAGGCTTTGAGGTTCACATCCCGGTCTGGAGAAGAGAAAGGCTCATATCCAACCTTGTCATCTTTCCTTCGGTAGTATATTCGTGTCAGCACAGTGATCAGAAAACTCTCGAGGATGAGGAGGTGACAGTTCATCACTGCAGCATGGGACAAAATATAGGTTATTCTAACTTACAGAGGTGGTATCCCATTAGCAGTCCTGGCATATGAGTTGGACAGCAGTTTCTCTTAATTTATCCTCAAACCAGAACCTAGAGATATTAAGTTGTTACCAGTAACATGGCAAGTTAACAGTAGAGCCAGAATCAGAACTTGGCTCTTTACCTCCTGAACTTTGAGGCTAGCATTGAACATTTCTTTTGCATGTTTTATCATGACCCTCTACTTCCTAACCACACCTATTCCTCTTCAGGAGCTGAGGATTGAACCTGGCTTCCTGGGTTGATCATCAGGGCTGGGCCTCAAGCTGCAGGATTGCAGCTGTCTGTGTGATCAGAGAGGTCATAGACTCAGAGCCTCTGCTAGATTTCTTGGAGGTCTCTTTCTCAGTACTCTGAGCAGAACACTCTGATTATTCTGAGAGTGGCTAGCCCTACTTCCAATCTAAGATCCTCTCTTCTCGGACCTACCCCTCCTGCCCATCCTGGAATAGACTAGGAACCCCCATGAGCTTACCTTGAGACCTGGTTTTAGAAGAAAAGGGAGGCGAACAAGCAATCTGCCCACCATTGGCCAAGACTGAGAAGATGGATGGCTGCAGGGCAGACAGAATAAGGAGTGCCTGCAGAACAGAAAAGAGGAGTGAGGGTGGGGGCTCTGCATCCCTGGCATGAGTCTGGCTGGCCTACTGCTGTGTTTGAAATGTGTCTCAGTGCTTGCCCTCTCTGAGTACACTTTTCTGCTGCACAGCCTCTTCAGGGTAGACTTGGCTTGTCCAGGCTTCCCTCCAATAATCATGGGCAGGTTCATTAATCACAAGGCTTTTATTCTGTGGCCTGACCCTCAGAGCTTCTGGAGCCCAGATCCTTTCTGTGCCCTGTCAGTCCGTTATTCCATGGTAGGCTCTTCTGTCTTCTATCTTCCTACAGACCCTCCACTTCTGCCTATCATGTGCCTGTGAGCAGCATCTGCTTAAGTCAAATGAGAATTTATGTGAAATTAATCTGTTAACTATAAAGGAATCATTGTGCCTTGGGAATAGGAGAAGGGGCCCAGCAAGAAGACAGACAGAATGGAGAGAGAAGAGAAACAATATGGGGCTAGAAGTCATTGCATTTGGTGGAAAGGTTATCTCTTGGCTTAGAGAATGGAAAGTGTAAGAAGTGAACAGATGTGCCTTTGAGAGAATTCTCAGGAAAGATGTGATGATGCAGAGGCAGTGAGATGAGAAGAAGGGATGTGGGTTTGGGAGTAGACAGTTATACATTTAAATTCCAGTCCCATCCCTTACGTACCTTTGAGCAAACCCCAGAACACCTGTTTCTCATTTGTAAAATAGAAAAAACAATGATTCTGAAGATTATAGTGAACTTTAATTAATGTATGAAAAGTGCCTAATACGTAGTACTGGTCATTCATAGTTGTAACTGTGATAATTCTGATGTTTCTAGTGGTGATGAATTGCAAGATTTTTAGAAGTAATGGGTAGTGAAGAAAAGAAAACAACAAAGGTATAAGAATTTAAGGTTTAAAAATACATGTGTTATGGGCTTCATTATCTCCCCCTAAAAGATGCATTGGAAGTCCTAATGCCCAGGACCTCAGAATGTGACTATCATTGTCTTGGTAACTGATTAGATGTAATTAGTTAAGACGAGGTCATACTGAAGTAGGGTGGGTCCTTATTCCAATATGACCGATGTCCTTATCAGAAAAAGAGACACAGACATGAGGGGAGAATGCCCTGTGATGAGCCAAGGATGCCAAGGATTGCTGCAAACAATCAGAAGCCAGGAATAGTCAAGGAAGGGTTTGCCCCAACAGTGTTCAGTGGGCAAGTGGGCCGCTGACAGCTTGGTTTTGGACTTTAACTATGAGGCAATGCATTTCTGTTGTTTTAAGCCACCAAGTTTGTGCTATTTTGCTCCAGCAATCTTAGGAAACTGTTATAGCACAGAAAAGCAACAACTGTGGAAGGGCAGGGATTCTTTTCCACATCTCACAAGAAACCTAAGGCTTAAGAAGATTCCCAGACCCACTACTAGGCTTTATTAGTCTCAGTTCCTAACCCCTATGATTTGTGGCTCATTATTAACCATCTTTTCTCTCCCAGGGTATAGTTACCTGGAACAGAACAAATTTGGCTCCTATGTTCTGCTCGCCCAGGTGCAGCCTGGCTTGACGAAAAATGATGCCTATGGTCCACAGAGCCGACAGGGTGGACACACCGAGGAAAGTGTTGATCCATAGAGCTGTGCTCCCCTCAGAAATCTGGTGGCAGGCCAGAAAGCAGTCAGTGAGGAAGCAAGCCCCTTTCTCCTTTTTTTTCCTTTCTCCCATGGTGGGGAAAATAAAAAAGCTTCTTCTCTCCCCGTTAGAGTCCCTGAGCCTCTGCTTTTCCACGGTCGCCCTGTACCTGGGGCTATCCCAACCCTGGGGCCCTGAATCAGGGGATATTGGCTCCAGCTATTCCTTCTGGAGCTCAGAGGAATTAAATTCATCTTGGCCTCTGCTGCCCCCTACTCTGGACTTACGTCTGATGGGTCAAAGATGCCATCAGGGATGAGAAACAGGCCCACCAGGCTCAGTGATATCTTGAAGAAGGCGTACTGGATGGGGCCCAACAGCAGCAGCTGAAGTCTCTTCCTGAAGTGGGAAGAGGGTTAGGAACATAGACCTGCAAATCACCCACCCACCAGAACTTCCAGCTCTCTCACTGGGTTCCTGGCAAGGCTTGGCCACCATCATAAACACCAACATAGTCAAGTGGGTGGGGACTCAGGAAGAGCATTGGGAACCGTCTTTACTGCCTCCCACTCACCCTCAGACCATAGTGATGCCTTTTGAGCAACAACTATCTGAGGATTGACCCCAACCTCATTAACTGAAATGGATGGAAAGGGAAAATAAATAGCCCAAAGTGCAATTTGTTCTCTGTGATAAAGTTTGTAGGGGACAGTGAGCGTAAGTGATGGGAACTCTGGAGTTCTCCTTCCTCCGTTTCTCCTACCCCTGTGTGGGTGCCCAGTTGTGGGTCCTGGCTGTGGGATGCCCACCCTTTCATCACTGACTTTGTTCTATTCAAGCCAAATCCCATGAGGCTTGAAACAGGACTGAGAGAGTCAGCAGAGGCTCTTGAGAGAGTGCAGAAGAGGCCAATCTGCTCTTCCAGGCAGACTCTCCCTCCCACCTCACCTGGTGATCTTGATTCGGGGGCAGCAGGGGCAGCAGCAGCAGCAGGGGCCTGTATGGATCATCACCGGGGTGTCCTTCAGTGTCCTCAGTACTGCCTCCTTCCCACCAAAGCCTTCCACCATGGCCTGCATCAGCAGGTAAAAGCACATTGCGTAAAACCTGGAGTTGGGGGGAGAGGTGGGAGGTGGGTCTGAGAGCACACAGAAGGGGAGGCGGCAGCAGCTGGTGGGATACCACTTGCTGCCAATGAAAAACAGACTGCAAAAGGACAGGGAGAAGGGGGCTTCCTGAAGGGATCAGGTAGGGTCTAGGCATTTTGAGTGTGTGACTCAAGAGAAGTGAGAGAGAGGACAGGTGGAAGAGGGCAGGCTGTGAGAACAAAATGGTGCCCGAGATGCGCTAGAAGTTCAAGAGACAAGTTGGGAAGGACTCGATTTGTGATCGGTTTGTTTGCATGGATTTATGGAGGGGACGGGGGGTAAAAAAAAAAAAGGCAAACTCTGGATTCCCAGGGCTGAGAGGAGCAGAAGGGGGACCCACGTTCAGCTGGAGGCAGGGCAGGACACTCACGCAGTTATGGCCATTTCCACAAGTGTGAGGGCACGAGGAATCCAGAGACCAAAGCAGCAGAATGCAGACACTATCTGCTTGGAGAAATACCAGGAGCTGGTTAGGGTAAGGAAGGAGACTGCATACTCACCTTTTGTGGCAAGAGCTCAAGGAAGCAAAAGCTAAACACCTGAGGCACCATTATTTAAAAGTGACCAACTGGGGACTTCTCCTCATGGTCCAGTGGCTAAGACTCCAAGCTCCCAAGGCAAGTGGCCTGGGTTCATTCCCTGGTCAGGGAACTAGATCCCACATGCCACAACTAACACCTGGCACAGCCAAACAAATGTTAAAAAAAAGAAAAGTGACCGGTTGGAAAAAGAGCTAGTTAAATCAACTAATTTTTTTTAAAAAATGTTTTTAAATTCAGCTGTCAGTTTATTCCTTGTCTAGGGTTAGAGACAGCAAGTCACCTTGAGTCAGAGGCTCTTTTGAAGACTATCTCTCAACATACGTCACTGGAGTAGGAATAGGTCAGTTCATCTTTAAGAGTACATAGATCAAGATCCAACCCTTCCTTTTCAACATCCCATGTTATTAGAGCACCTCTGATGTCTTCAGATGGCCCAGGCAGATGTCATCTGGCAGAAAAGGACCTCAAGGGCTTTGTTCTTCACCCAAAACAGACACAGAGCTCACCACACGTAAAGAGGAACCCTATCTTGTGGCCTGCGAGCATGCCAAAGAGCTATCAAATGGCTGTTAGAGTGAGTTAGAAGGACTTACAACATAAGGGTAGAGTGAACATGACCCCATGGGAAAAAATTACTCTCCTCCTACCCTCTGAGGAACCACTGCTGGTCTGTGCAGGAAGCAGGCTTATTTTAACAGCAACACAAGTAGCAGGGGAGTAGTGAGTGGGATAGCAGGTGGGCTCAGACCATTCTCCGGCTGTTCTTAGAGCTGTTTCTGTGGCTCTAAGATTTCAAACACTCCACCCCACTGACTGTGACCTCCCAAGCATGCGATCTTGACTGCAGATAGCAGACTAAAACCCCCACCCTAAAGTAGTAGCAGAAGGCAACTTGAATTACTGAGTTGAAAGGAATCCTCCTCTTCAGCCCCTCCCCAAAGACAGCTGCAGGACCCTCACCGTGGGTGAAGAGCTGCACCAGAGCAGGGTCTTCCTCTTGATAGGGCAGCGAGTGTTCTTGTGCACGTAGACAGCAGCCTCCAGGAAGATGGCTATTGAGCCCAGGACAAGCAAGGTCATGATGACCATGAGGGAAATTTCCATAGGGCCCAATGCTTGAGTGGAAAGAGAGGACAGACTCCAGTAAGCTGAAGACCAGGGCTGAGGAGCAGATGTGGGCTTCCTCATACGCATCTAAATTGCTTTACCACATCTCGAATTACCTGGTCTCGGCTTCCCTTCATGCAGAAGATGAGCTTTTTCTTAGACCTAGAATTTCCAACGTGTGACTAAGAAATAGTCATTCTTCTGCATTCATGAGAGACTAGACCAGATCCATCTAAGTATGGTAAGGCTTACTTGAATCGGAATATAGACACTAGACAAGTTTGCACATAATGAACAAAAATTCTAAGTTCGGAGGTCAACAGGGCCTATTCACTTTTCTCAGTGTCAGGGGTTATGCTAGCAGATGGACCAGTTAACATTATAATTAAAGCAGAATATATACTTCTGATATGTATCAGAATATATACTGATATACTTCAGTCACTCGTTGTGTTGTCCGACTCGTTGTGACCCCATGGACTGCAGCATGCCAGGCTTCCCTGTCCATCACCAACTCTTGAAGCTTGCTCAGACTCATGTCCATTGAGTTGGTGATGCCATCCAGTCATCTCATTCTCTGTTGTCCCCTTCTACTCCTGCCTTCAATCTTTCCCAGCATCAGGGTCTTTTCAAATGAGTCAGCTCTTTGCATCAGGTGGCCAAAGTATTGGAGTTTTGGCTTCGGCACCAGTCCTTCCAATGGAGAAGGCAATGGCAAACCTTTTCAGTATTCTTGCCTTGAGAACCCCATAAACAGTATGAACTTGATATGTTTAGAGATGTTTAAGTTTGATTTCGAAAATTTTGTCACTTTACTGGGACACACAAAGGGACTTTTACAAAAGAAGTGGACCCAACTAAAGACTCTAAGGATATTTGACCTATGCTGGTCCCAAGTACACTTATTCTCACATTAAATGTAATCCAGTAGCTGTCTTCAGTGTTTATTGAAATCATTTGAGGAGTTGTTAAAAAGTAGCTGTCCAGACCCCCACTCCTTATACCCCCTGCCACCATCAATGCTATTCCCATAGATCTGGCATGTAATCTATGTTTTAAACAAGCTCACCTGATAATAGAAGACAAACATTTTAACAAACACCAGTGAAGATCCTCTGGCCTCACCCTTGCTAACAGGAAAACACTAATATAGTGGCAATATTTGTTTCTGAGCATGTTCTAATCAGTGCAACAATGTTTTAAACAAAGAGTTCCATGTCCTTGGTGACTAAGCCTGGACCCTCATTTATCTAAGTCTCTTCCCTAGTTGGCAGACCCTTTCCTTTTAGCCTCCCAACTGGCTAGATGACAGAAGAAGCAGGGGAAGACTGGCAGAGTCCAGCCACTGTCCTATTGCATTGGGAGTAAAGGAAATCAACCCTGAATACTCATTGGAAGGATTGATGCTGAAGGTCAAATACTTTGGTCACCTGATGCAATTAGCTGGCTCATTGGAAGAAACCCTGAAGCTGGAAAAGATTGAAGGCAGAAGAAGAGGAGGGTGACAGAGGATGAGACGGCTGGATGGTATCACTGATGCAATGGACATGAACTTGGACAAACTCCAGGAGATAGTGAGGGACAGGGAGGCCTGGCATACTGCAGTCCATGGGGTCGCGAAGAGTCTGACATGACTGGGTGACTGAGCAACAATGAGAGGATATTGGCTGGTCTGCCCTGTTTTGGTGACTGAGGGCAGCTCAGAGCTACTGACACCAAAACAAGGAAGAAGGAGACTACATCCCAGTGAAGACTTGAGTTGTCATCTGGATCAGTCATACTTGATGACATCACAAGGAGCGACCAGGACAAAGGTGAATTTGTCAAAAACTACTTTGATGCTTTTTTGGGGTCATTTATTTTTATTAGCTGGAGGCTAATTACTTTACAATATTGTAGTGGTTTTTTCCATACATTGACATGAATCAGCCATGGATTTACATATGTTCCCCATCCTGATCCCCCCTCCCACCTCCTTCCCCATCCCATCCCTTTGGGTCTTCCCAGTGCACCAGCCCACGAGCACTTGTCTCACACATCCAGCCTGGGCTAGCGATCTGTTTCACACTTGATAATATACATGTTTCAATGCTATTCTCTCAGATCATCCCACCCTCGCCTTCTCCCACAGAGTCCAAAAGTCTGTTCTATACATCTGTGTCTCTTTTTCTGTCCTGCATATAGGGTTATCATTACCATCTTTTAAAATTCCATATATATGCATTAGTATACTGTATTAGTGTTTATCTTTCTGGCTTACTTCACTCTGTATAATGGGATGCTCTTGAACTGTGGTGTTGGAGAAGACTCCTGAGAGTCCCTTGGACTGCAAGGAGATCCAACCAGCCAATCCTAAAGGAAATCAGTCCTGGATATTCATTGGAAAGACTGATGCTGAAGCTGAAACTCCAATACTTTGGCTACCTGATGCAAAGAACTGACTCATTTGAAAAGACCCTGATGCTGGGAAAGATTGAAGACGGGAGGAGAAAGGGACAACAGAGGATGAGATGGTTGGATGGCATCACCAACTCGACAGACATGAGTTTGAGTAAGCTCCGGGAGCTGGTGATGGGCAGGGAGCCTGGCGTGCTGCAGTCCATGGGGTTGAAGTCCATGGAGTCGGACACGACTGAGTGACTGAACTGAACTGAACTTTGATCCTGGTTGTTCCTATTTCAGGGCACGTGTTTTTGCTTGCTTTCTCCAAGAGGCCCTTTATCTCTGACCACAGTTAGGTCTGTGATCAATCCAGAGGACCTGCTGCAGGGAAGGCGGTCCTTGGACAATCTCCCAGCCTACACTTCTGAAGTCAGTGGTAAGCTTTTCCTTTCTGCTACAGGCCTCAAAAGACAAGACTGTGCTGTTCTTCCCTCCTCCCCATTCCTGTCTCCACCTGCTTCCACTTAATTAGGATGCAGCCCACTGTGTGACCAAATTACTGGATTGGTGTTGCTATTTAGTTCTGTTGCCTCATTCTCAATTACCTCTACAGATATTGCTGTAGTAGGCCCCGCAAGTTTTAAACATTAACAAAATAAAACAAGCAAAAAACCACCTGGCTGCAATCCTTAATTAAAAAGAGACTTTACCTCCCTTCCTTGAAATTTTAAAGACATAACCGAGGATCTTTTTTTCTGACACAATTTTATCCTTATACAATAAAAATATGGATTTAAAACAGTTGCCATTGTTTTATCATGATATACACATAAAGCCTTCCATGTATCAAAATAATTCCAGATAGATTAAAAAGATAAATCTTTAATAAACAACAAGGATCTACTGTATAGCACATGGAACTCTGTTCAATATTATGTGCCAGCCTGGATGGGAGGGGGTTGGGGCTTGGGGGGAGGATGGATACATGTATATGTATGGCTGAGTCCCCTCTCTGTTTATCTGAAAGTATCACAACATTGTTAATCAGCTATGCCTCAATATATTAAAAAAATGTTTTAAAAAAGAGGTATTTATTTAAAAATAAAACGGAAAATTGAGAGAAGGAAAAAAAAGAGAGAATTGTATTTTCATCAAAACCTGAGGGAAGACCTTCCTAAGCTTAGGTGTAATCCAAGAAATCACAAAGAGAAGGATGGTCAAATTTGATATAAAGAGTTCAAACTTCTGAATGTTAAAAGTATAGGCAGTAAGCTGGTGATTTCACAGATGCACACTTGGGTAAAAATCCATCAAATTATATACATAAAATCATTGCCCTTTCCTGAATGTAATTTATAACTGAAACAAACAAACCTTAATGTGAACAAAGCAGAAAGCAAAATTACCACAGGAAATTCCCTGGCTCTCTGGTGGTTAGGACCTGGTATGTTCACTCCTGGCAGCCAGGGTTTGATCCCTGGTTGGGGAACTAAGATCCCAAAAGCCACATGGTGTGACCAGAAAGAAATAAAAGTAAATAGCATAGTAAAACTATAGCCATGTAAAGGATTTGGCTGAAGAGAAGGATAGAAAAGAGCTGAAGGAAAGAGTGGGGCCCTAATATCTTTATCATATAAAATGGAATGTGAAGAAGTACTGTCCATAGTTGACAGAATAAGAAATAAACTATAGGTGTAGTATATACAGCTATAAAGATAACCAACTAAAAATAATGATGAAACCATGTGGAATGAGTAGAAATTTGGTACTAAGTGAATTAAATCTTTATGTATTATAGAGGCAGCCACAGATAATATACAAAACTGATACCACATGAAATAATGGTAATTTGAAGGTAACTATAAAAAGAATCATCAGCTAAAAAAGTAGAATGAAGATTAAAAATGAGAATAAATAGGGCAGGGGAATGTTAATTTTCATTTGTAGCCCTTTTGTACTATTTAAAACTTTACACCATGTTCATGTGGGTTAAGATAAAAACATTAAAAACCATTGCCTAGGAATAAATTAGCAACGCCATCTTTGGGTGTTGAGACTGTGGGTGGTCTTTGTCTTCTTTCTTTTCTAATTATTCTATAACAAATATGCATTTTATAACAAATAAGCTTTTTTAAAGACATACTTTGCAAATATGTAGTAATATGAAAAAATTCATATGAAGTCATGCTTATAAAAACAGTATATAAAATTATAGTATAGTATGATTTCCACTACTGTTAAATAAAAGCACGGAAAACAGAGCTTATGCTATGATATTTGCAGTGCTGGTCTTGAGTGGTGGGACCATGTGCGGTTTTTCTTTTTCATACTTTTCTCTATTTTCGTATTGACTTTACTGAATTATTTTTACAATGGAAATGCTTAGTTAAAAAAAAAACAGACAAAATATTAAAGTCCAGATAGGCAGAAACCAAAATTAATTCAGTAGATTTCTGAAAACCAATGTCCTTTTTTGGGAAGGGGAATACCGCTGGAGGCCCCTCCTTGAGGGACTCCCCTAGCCCCTGCTTGATTCTTGTCCTCATCAGCTCACTGAGAACTGAGAGTGGGAATAGCCCCTCCAGAAGCCATCATGTCAAAGCCTTTCTCAATCTTCACTGTCCCTGACTATTCCCTTCTCCTTGAAAATCTCTCCCATCCCGCTTGACTCCAGTAACCACAGTTCTGGCTCCTCTCCTGGAGACCCTAGGTCTCCTCTAGTGATTCCTCATCCTCTCCCACACCCTGTGTTCTCCAGACTCAACCACTGCATCTCACCTCTTCTGTGTATTGAGGTTTAGGATTTCCCTACCACCCCTCAGCCACCTAACAACCACCTGAGCCATTTCTGCCTCCAGGACTTTATAGTGCTTGGCTGCTGCCTGTTCAGGGTTTCTCCCTGAGCTCCCCGTGTCTGGCTCATTCTCATCACTGAGCTCTCTGCTCAAAGGCCCCTCCGCAGTCAGCAACCCTTGAGTCTCCAGTGTGGTGTTATCTCTCTCTCCCAAGTTGCTCTCACAGTGAGGTTATTTACATATTTATTGCTTGTCCCCATAGAGTGATGGTAGTGTGAACTCCACAAAGGCAGGGACTTTGTCAAGCTTGTTTTCTGTTCTATCTCCAAGTGCATACAACAGTAACTGTGACTCTTTGTTCAATGAAAGAAATGACCACATGAGGATTCTTACTGTCATCTCCAGTTACAAGCTTTTCCAGGAAACTAGACTTAGAGTTGAGCACCTCACCCATGATCACGCAGCCTGAAAGTGACAGAGCTGGGATTTAAACCCAAGGGTTCCTGATCCTAACTAAGCCCGTTCTTTTCACCATTACACCTGCTGACTCTTTGTGTGTGTTCACATAACTATGGGAAGAAATTTGGAATAATATTAACCATCAAAAGTTGCTTAAGTTGATGAAGGTGGAGGTGAGGCATATTCCAGCTATTCAATATGGAAGTGCTTTTGCAGTTTCTTGTATCTGCTGCCTTTTGTGCTCTATTCTTTCTCATGCTTGCAGTATCTACAGGCTCTCACATTCACTTCCACAGGGCAAAAGCTAGGAGGGAGAACTTCCTTAGCATCCAGAGCCAACACCACTACTCTACCTCAAACTCATTTATCTCCTTAGAAGATCATCCTCTATCTTATTTTTCTGTATCTTAACAGATATTATGAAACAAAAGTTTCTGATGGCTCAAGGATTTTTTGAAACACGTTTAACAAGGTTAAACATGTTTCTTTCCTGCAGAGTATAAGTTTTAAATCTGATTTATATTGTTAATTTCCAAAAGGAGGATACAGAATACAGCTTTTATAGAACTGGTTTTTCTACAGGCTCTGTTTTCATGGAGCACTCTCTGGGATTAGTATTCCAAGGAACACACTTTGGGAATTACTTGTCTAACTGACCTGTAGAATACAACTATACTTTAGCAACTAGCAAATTCCCATTGTATCTGTAACAATGAAGATTACTTTTTAAAATAATAAAAACAATATAAGAAGATTGAAACTTTGGGAAAAAAAGCTTTGCACATAATCCTAGCTAGTTCCTAACCAAAAATTATTCTCCTTTTTGCACATATTTCCATGGAGGTGAAGAGCACAGGCTCTAAGCTCAAAGTAAAATTACATTTACTTCTTGCTCTTTAATCGTGGGTAGATTATTATCCTCCATTTAAACCTCTTAGCATGACTCAATGGTAGTATTTGCTCAATAAAAAGTAGCTTTAAAAAACATCCTGTTTAGGCTAATTCATTTCAATGTATGACAAAACCCACTGCAATGATGTAAAGTAATTAGCCTCCAACTAATAAAAATAAATGGAAAAAAAAAAACATCCTGTTTAAAGTGTATACATATTGTATTACTGCAATTATACTGTAAAATTTGCATTCTGTTTTTTCCACCTAACATTTCACCACAGTCTGTCAAAAATTATTTTTATAATTATTTTACAATTATAAAGGTTTTTAAAATAAAGAGAATAATAGAGCTGCATTAATGTATCCATAATCCATTTTGAAGAGTTATGATATTGCCAGTTTTGTTTCAAAAGTTATTCTTAGAAAAATAAAACATTATAGGTGTACTTGAAGGCCCTGTATATATCTCCAGGGTCCTTTTCCCTTCACTTACTTCACCTCCCAGGGTTAACTACTATTCTGAAATTGGTGTGTATCTTTTCCTTTATGTTTTAATTTTTTTACAATGTATTTACATGCTCAACATATTATATTGCTTTGCATTAAAAAAAACTATATAAATGTTTTCCACTCAACATTGTTTTCATGGTTGTTATTATTTTCATTGTGACAAACAAATGCTACCCTAAGCATTCTTAGATGTGTCTCCTCGGCACATATAGGAGAGTTCCTCTATTCCTCCCCGTCTAAGATCCTGAAAGCCACGTGGTATGGCCAAAAAGAAAAAAAAAACAAACACACAAACAGTGGGTTTAAGTCCCAGGCTGGGTTGTGTGGTTGCAGTTACTATATTATTGCTTAAATTACTCTAGTCTTCTAATATATAACCTTTAATATCTGGTAGGGCACGTATCCTCCTTACTCTTTTTCAAAATTGTCTTGGCTTTTCTTGGCCCTTCACTCCCCCCAAGTAAAAGTTTGGATCAGTCCATTAATAAGAAAATACTCTAGGGATTATAACTGTAGTCATATCACAGGCATTTCAAAAACAAATTATTGAAAGTTTCAATGGTTCTTTCAGAATAGTTCTTTCTTAAATAGCACTTAAGAAACAAAGAGTTTACAAATGAAGGAGGAAGGGGTTTCACCACATTGTCCAATGGGCACCTCTTCCTGACTGTCCTATTTCTGTCAGTGTCATCACCACTGTTGAGATTCTCGGAGTCATCATTAGAGTTTCTTTTTCTTTCACTTACCTTGTCTAAATATTTACCAGATTGCCTGCTATTTCTTTGGATTGCCTGTATTTTCCAATCTGCCCTTCCTTTCCCTGACACTGCTCTGGTGCAGACTCTTACCCTTCCTGTTAGGCTGGGGCACTGACCTCCAATTTATACCCCTCCTTCTTAAGGCCCTTACTCTCCAAAGTCTATCTTGATTACTAATTAATGGTCCTGAAATACTATCCAGCTCCTCCCAATCTCAGAGCCCTCATCTATTCCTACCTGCAGGATAAAGTACAACTCCTCTGCCTGACACTCAGCAGGCCCCACCTTACCTGCCTAGCCCTCTCAACTGTCCCCTGCTTCCTCCCCAGTAACCTTGAATCTCCCCAGTGCCTGGAGAGCCTGCCTACTCATTCTTTCTCCACTCCAGCTTCCTACTTTCCAACTGTTACTCACTCCAACAGTTCAATGGGGGATCAAGGTAGCTTCCCAGACTACCAGACCCAGAATGGTCTACCTACTTTGAATATCCTCAGTGCTTCTATTTGCATATTTTGCAGCAAAGCAATGTGCAATCCATTTTCACTGTGTGAGATAGGGTTTCTCAATCTCAGCACTATTGACCCCTTGCCCCAGCTAATTCCTTGCTTGTGGGGACTTTCCTTTGTTTCCAGGGCAAACTCCCTGACCTCTACCCCGCTAGATGCCAGTTAGCACCCTCTACTTGTGGTGACTGGAACTGCCTCCAGACATTGCCAAAAGTATCCTGTGAGACAAAGTTGCCTCTGGTTGACAGCACCGGTGTGTGAGAAGACTCGTGTCACCATCCTCACTCTCTGAACAAGAAATCCCTGGAGTCGGATGTAGCATCTGCCTACTTGCATGAACCACAGAGCAGCTACAAGGCAGCCCTGGACCTCCTCTGGCAGTTGGTATTCACTCCAGTTCAGAGCATCTGAAACAAAGGCATGCCCATATCTGCCTGCTAGTACACGCTGACCACACCCTACTGTTTAGGAAGAGTCTCCTTCTTGAGGTAACAATGTCAGGAAGGAGAATGGAAAAAGCATTAAGGAGAGAGACACAGATTCCTACTCATCAACGTCTAAGAGATGGTTGATCATGCAGTAAGAAAACAAAATACAGTGTGGATGGGAGCCACATTTGCTATCAAGATGCTAGGGTCATTTGATTGCCATGTTTTAGGTGTCCAGGGACTAAATGGAGTCCTATCCTATGACTTTCACTTTCAAAACCAATTCGGTAATAAGAGCTAGTTGGCCAACACTGTCAGAATACTTTTACAGGTTCACCTAAGTTTTAAGAATATTATTCATAATAACCACTCTCCAGAGTGGTATAGACTCATTTTAAGGAGGATGTTGTGCAGGCCTCAAAGGGATTCTGTGGGGCTTTGGGCACACACGTGAGTCCCTGGGTGGCCCTAGGGTCTGAAAAATGCTCCAGGTCATTGTCCCCCATATGAATCGGGGAGTCCCAACATGCAGGTTTTTCTCCAGGCCACACAGCCGTGCCCCTCTTTTGACTTTTTGGCTCCTCCACAGTTCTACATTCCCCAGCTTTTAAATTTTTTTGACTGTACTACGCAGCATGTAGGATCTTACTTCCCTAACCAGGGATCAAACCTGCACCCCACCCTGCATAACCTCTGGACCACTAGGGAAGTTCCTAAAAGGTTTTTACCAAGATTGACACTGGGTTAGCCATCCTCCCAGGCACTCCCTCTATGCTGGCCAGCTCAGGACCACCTCCTCTCAGCTCCTCTCAGCTGTTTTAACTTCTGCCTTGGGATGCTCATTTTTCCTTCTTTCAGTTCCCTCTGGGGAGGGTCCCTGACTCACCTCTCAGAAGCTGGGCTGCAGTGGGAGGGTAAGAGAAGCAGGCAGAGGGAACGCTGTAATTGGTTTTCAGAATCTCCAGAAGATCTGCTGTGTACCTGGAGAGACACCAGCCTGTGTTCAGAATATGAGGACTTGGGGCGGGCAGGTGGGTAAGCAGAAGGAACACCAGCAACTTGACACTCCCTTGAACACTCCTAGGTTCATGGAGCATCTCCATTTCCCCTCAAGCCCCAAGTGACAGTCTGCAGGTCTGGCTGCAGTGCTCGAAAAGCCCACAGTCCATCCCCTCCACTTCCATAGGGGCAGCAGCCCAGGGGTTGGCTAGGGAGAAAAAGCGGGGTCCCAGAGAAAGAATGGACCCTTAGCACCAGGAATGGGTCCCCAGCTGGGCAGAGCTCTATGCATGTCCCTCATGCCCCTTCCACCTCTGGGATCTTCCTCTGCCTGGTTGGGGGCCAAAGCTAAGACTCTGAGGGGTCATACACTCACCCTTCCCCACAGTGTCCCTGAGGACCTTCTGGAATGACCAGACCATTGTCAGTCCTGTTTCATTCTTGTGCTGAGAGGGAGGTAGGGACAGGCCAGAGTGAGAGGGCCCCCTGCTGCTTAGCAACTGGCTCCTGGCTTGGGGCCTGCCTCCTTCACTCACCTGGGATCGAGCCTTATCTGAGTCCTGCCTGGCTCCATCGTCTTCTTGCTCTATCCGGCTTTCCTTCCTGGCAGGCACTGAGGGCCAAGGAGAGACAGGTAATCTGGGGCCCTGAGGGGAGGTGGCTTCAGCTGACTGTGGCTTCCAAGACTGGCCGTGGGTTGGTGGAGTGGCTGGGTCTTCCCCTCTGGCTCTCTCCCTCCTCAGGCCTCCTGTGCCCACAAGTTCCTTTCTCAGAGTTCACCTCAGAGGAATTTGAACCCCTCAGCTGGCTGAGTTCCCTGGTTCCTGACTCCTCCCTGACCGTAGGTGTGGTCCCTCTTTCTTCCCTCCCGTGAATGCCTCTGGCTACCCCTTGACCCCTGTCCACCTTCACTCTCCATCCCTTCTGAGGAGACTCCCAGGGCCCTGGTAGAGACAAAGTCCTTGATCCCCCCACAATCCCCCACCCCCACTGAGCGACCCCTCCCCCTTAGAACCCGGCAGGAACTCAGGCTCTGTCCCCCTGAAGGTGGAAGTCAAGGCCAAGGCTTTGACGGTATTGGTGCTATTGGCTGGGTGTGCAGAAGGGAGGGCAGCTGGGAAATCCAGATGAGACCCAGCTTAGAGCATCCTGACGACAGGCTCATCCAGCCAAACAGCCCTAAAGGCGCAGCAAATGGGCGGAGGGGAGTATTTAAAGGTACTTATGGAGTAGGATCTCTGGGCATTTTGACAGATTTTGAAAAACTGCCAAATGTTCTGCTTACCAACTATTTTATTGATTGGTGATGTCTCTTCTTGCTTTCTCCTTAAACCTATTTAAGGCCAAACATAGTACCCCTAAGTTCCCAGCACAGGGCCTCACACATACTTAAGTGCTCCTTAAAATCAGTTGCATGACAGACAAAATAATGAAATCACAGCAACAGTAGCTAATGCCTGTGGAGTGTTTATGTAACAGGTGGTACAAGAATTGCTGCATATTCTTTCTCTCATTTAAACTTCACAAGTACTCTTACAAGGTAAATGCTTTTTTAAAATCTGTTTTTTAATTGGAGGATAATTGCTTTACAGTGTTGTGTTGGTTTCTGCTGTACAACAAAGAAAATCAGCCACTGTTATATATACATATATATACATAAACATATATATCTGCTCCCTCTTGAGCCTCCCTCCCCACTCCCATCCCACCCCTCTAGGTCCTCAGAGCACCGGGCTGGGCTCCCTGTGTTATATAGAAGCTTCCCAGTAGCTATCTGTTTTACACATGATAGTGTATATGTGTCAATGCTGCTTTCTCAGTTCATTAAAGGTAAACGTTATCTTTGTTCTCATGTTACAGATAAGGAAACTGAGGATCAGAGGGGTTATGACACTACACTAAGTTGGATACATGGTGATATGGAGAGAGGCAGAAGGGACCTGGGTTAGGGGCTCTGTTGAGGCCTAGATGAAGTTCTTGATAGTAGAACAACAATAGCAACAAAAGCCCAGTAGAGGGTCAAGAGAGTCCATTTTGGGAATGCAGAAAAGTCCCCCTGCTCTGGGTTGGTGGGTAGATGTGGTCAGAGGAAGCAGTTACTGATGTACCAAGAAGACTCCCTCCTCCTGTCCCAAAGTAGCACCTCAAAATATCTCCTGAGGATCAAGAAGAGTCCTCTCTTTTCGTTACCCTTTTCCTTAAGTACAGTTCTCTGGACAGGACAATGAAGTGATCCAGGAGTCTCAGGGGCCAATGACCTCCTGAAGTGGACATAAGGGCACAACCCGTAAGACAAGGGCACTGACCTAGGGCCCTGCCCTAGCAAAGACCCAGGCTGACTCAGCTTCCTCAAACCATTTCCACAGGAATGCTTCCTGCTCCCTGGGTCATTCATCCCTACCCTGGTGAGAAGCCTTGAGCTTAATCACCCAAAGCCCTGAACTTTAGACTTCCTTAGAGCAGAACACAGGGCTTCCCCGGTGGCTCGATAGTAAAGACTCCACTAGCCAATGCAGAAGACGCAAGTTTGATCCCTGGGTCGAGGAGGCCCCCTGGAGAAGGAAGTGGCTACCCACTCCAATATTCTTGCCTAGAAAATCCTATGGACAGGAGCCTGGCGTGCTGTAATCCATGGGGTGGCAAAGAGTCAAACATGACTGAAGCAACTGAACAACAAAAACCAACAGAGCAGAACACAGGATGCTGAGGATGTTCCCTGAAACTTCTCTGGGACAGAACTGTGGGGCAGAGGTGGGGGAGGCGGGAGAGGAGGTCTGAAGAGCAGGAGGGAAGGCCGCTGGGCAGGGGCTGGCAGGCCCAGGGGAGACTGGATAATCCTCAGGTTGGATGGTGACGCAAGGAAGAGGGGCAGGTGATTGGGGAGAGGGAAAGCTCTCAAGTGTTGCTTCTGCCTCACCCAGGGTTCCTCAGTGACTATCTTTATACAGTGTTACCCATGGATTAGTTAAGGCCAGTCTGTCCATAGCTAAGGTGTGGCTAGAAGATGAGGTGGGCCAGCCAATCAGATTCTTCTCTTGCTAATTTAAGACTGTGGAACCTTGATTTTTAGAATCAAGACGAATGAAGTCTTTATTTATTTATTTATGTTTGTTTGTTTAATTTCCTCTGCAAAATCATATGGTAACATAAGACATCTATTACTTCAGTTCTGGCTTCTCAGTGTAAGGGTCATTTTTGAAAAATACAAACTGATCATACATTTCATCAGTTTTTCCCTAGGGCTCTTAAATCATTTGATATTCAAAGGCCAGTCTTTCTCTTTTAAAATACTTCTTATTGAGATAAAATTCACATAATGTTCACTACCTCAGTCATTTTAAAGTAATTCGGTGCATTGTCGTATATTCATAATGTTGTGCACCCATCATCATTAATCTAATTGCAGAATATTTTTATCCCCCAAAGAAACCTCATGCTTCTCAATTATTCTTTCTTCTCGCCCCTTGGCAGCCATTAGTCTACTTTCTCTCTATGAATTTGCCAGTTCTGGACATTTCATCTAAATAAAATAATACAATATGTGGCTTTTTATATTTGAATTCTTTCATCTAACAATGTTTTCAAGATTTATCCATATTGTAGCATGTATCAGTGCTCATTCCTTTTAATGGCTGAATAATAATCCATTGTTGGAGGAGGCAATGGCAACCCACTCCAGTACTCTTGCCTGGTAAATCCCATGGACGGAGGAGCCTGGTAGGCTGCAGTCCATGGGGTCGCTAAGAGTTGGACATGACTGAGCAACTTCACTTTCACTTTTCACTTTCATGCATTTGAGAAGGAAATGGCAACCCATGCCAGTATTCTTGCCTGGAGAATCTGGGGATGGGGGAGCTTGGTGGGCTGACGTCTATGGGGTTGCACAGAATCGGACACGACTGAAGCGACTTAGCAGCAGGAGCACTATTCCATTGTATGGATATATACCATATTTTAAAAGTCAGGTAATGGCATTTATTTATCAGCTAATGGACATTTGATTTGTTTCTATATTTGACTATTATGAAAATTGCTGCTACTTTGCAAAACTCATTTATTAGCTCTAGTTGAATGTGTGTGTGTGTTCTTCAGGGATTTCCATATACAATAGTGTCATATGCAAATGGAGATGGTTTTACTTCTTTCTTTCCAATGTAGATGCTTTTATTTATTTTTCTTGCCTAATAGCTCTATAGAACTTCCAGTACAGTGTTAAACAGAAGTGGCAAAAGCAGGTGTGCTTGCCTTCTTCCTAATCTGACAGAGAAAGTTTTCAGTCTTTCACTATTAAGATGCTGTGCTTAGTCCCTCAGTCGTGTCCAACTCTTTGTGACCCCATGGAATATAACCCACCAGGCTCCTCTGTCCATGGGGATTCTCCAAGCAAGAATACTGGAGTGGGGTTATGATATTAGCTGTGGGTTTTTAAAAAATGTCCTTCCTCAGATTGACGAAGTTCCCTTCTATTCCTAATCTGTCAAGGAATCATGGAAGGATTTTGCCAAATGCTTTTTCTTTTTAAAATTAGTATTTTTTATTGAAGTATAGTTATTTACAATACTGTGCTAGTTTTAAGTGTTGTTGTTTAGTTGCCAAGTGGTGTCCAATTCTTTTGCAACCCCTTTGGACTATATAGCCTGCCAGGCTCCTCTAACCATGGGATTTCCCAGGCAAAAATACTGGAGTGGGTTGCCATTTCTTTCTCCAGGGGATCTTCTCGACCCAGGGATTGAACCCATGTCTCCTGTATTGGCAGGTGGATTCTTTACCACTGAGCCACCTGAGAAGCCTGTTGTAGTGTATACAAAAGTGGAAATACAATGTCCTACCCATGAAACCTATATAATGTTAAAACATATGTTACTGCAATAAAATGAATTTTTAAAAAAAATTAAAAATTGTATTCTAACTTCAATCAGCATCATAAAATGCTACTTCTTTTGCAAGATTTTAAATGTCACTTTGCAATAAGTTATCATTGTACTTGAACTTGGCATTGTTTTGCATTACAGTTGAGATGGAAAAGGAAGATGCTAGTATTAAATGAAAGGTGATGTTTGAGTGGGGCTCCATTTCTCATTCATTAGTGAATATTTTTGTGTTCTGATGTTTTAATTTACTACACAACATTATAAGTTTAGAGAGTCAGATTATGACAACTAAGAATGCAAAAAGGCTCCAGATCCTAAAATTACAAATAACAAAATACATGGTGTTGAATTCAGTAAATAAATGAAACAAAAAGTCCACAAACTAACTCTAGAGATTAGACATGGAGTGTTTATTAGGGAATGATTTGGGGACCAACACCTGTGAAAGGAGAGGGAAAGAAGGAAGGGAAGGAAGCAAGGCTGAGCAGAGGGAGATGTTGATCTGCCTCCTCCAAGGTCACATGGGGGCTAGGATGGCTCCTCAGAATTGTTTTCTATTGGAAAAGCATCTGGACCTTTATATCCTCATGTTGGACCATTCCTTGGATGCAAGCTGTCCCTGAAAAGAGGTGGGACCGTGGGTGAGGTAATTTTCTTTAGGGGAGGCAATCTCCGAAGCTGAGGCAGTTTTCTAGCCCCTGGG